TTATCTAATAAATGTGGTTGGCATAGGTGGTAACCATTGGGGAGCAGTAAGAGCTGAGTCCCTGACTCATGCTGTACAGAAAAATTAATTTCATGTAGATTAAAGCTTAAAGTGCTGAAAACCTTACATATATTTGAAGGCAAAATGGGTGCCAATTTGTATGATCTTGGGATGAGAAAGACCTTTGTTCAGAAATCATAAAGGACAAAATTGAAAAATCTGATTTAATAAAAGTCAAACAAAAGCCTCACAAGAAAGTAAGAAAGCAACTGGGAAATATATTGGTAAGGTAAAAACAGAGTTTATATTCTTGTTATGATATTTCCTTCCTATCAAGCAGTGGGAAAAGATTAATGCTCAATTAGAGAAATATATAATAAGCAGTTTGTAAGTATTGCAGATTATCAATGAACATATGGAAAAATATTTTGACTACGTAATTAAGGATTTACTCCTTATGACCCAACAGCTATAAGATTTTTAAAAAGGCAATCTTTGCGTTAGTGAGGGTATAGAGAAGTCAGTACAGGATGAGCATCCCGAGTCTAAAATTCAGAAACCCGAATGCTTTGTGTCAGAATGATACAAGTGAGAATTCAACCCCTGACCTCATGTGACGGGTCACACTCAAAACAGACCCACAGGGCAGGGTGCTTTAAGTGGCCCTTGAAACAAGTTTGTGATAGCAGGATGTAAGGACACACTCCTGTCACATTTCCTCCCTCTTCCAACTGCTCCCCCAAAAAAGTTGAAAGAAAAATGGACTAAAAATACATTGGGATATAGTTTCTGGCTTTAGCTTTACTTTTCTCAGCTCATTTTTCTAATCAGCCTCAGCAGAAAGGTCCAAAACCTCATTTATACTGGAGCCAGACTTCTCAAGGCTGAGGAAAAGCAAAGCCCAGTACACACATGAATGCTCGTTTTTACAGGAGACTCGGGGCTCAGGGTCATGTTGTTGACAGGGCAGCTCTGCCTTCGGGGGCAGGTTAGGCTCTGCCCAGGTTTATGATGCCTGAAGTTGAGACCAGCCTGTATGTAAAGAAACAAAAATAGATATTCTTCTTTCCAGCTAGCAGTCTTATGGATTGATTCTGTATGATCGCTTTACTGAAACAGAAGGGTTTATTGACAGTTTTGAATCCTATAAAATAATCATATTATATTTAGGAAACAATCTGGTGTCCCTTAGGCAAGGTATACCCAAGCTGTATTTTGTTGGGCCTTTAAGAATGCTTACAAATATGAATAAGTTCCTTACCTTTGCAAATTTGAGTATTGTGTAAGACACCCCAGATTTCTACCCTATCTTGAAAAATTAGAGAATTTAGCAAAAAGTGCTGGCAGCAGCCATCTGTACACCAACAAGTATAAAGTGTGCACCTGCCTGTATATACTCTTTTGCCTCTCTTGATTTAAATCAAGATCTAGGTATCCCAGAGTTGAAAGTCTGCTCCTGAGGAGATACGTTCTCTAAAGAATAACACATTGTGTATGTGTTCGGCAGGGTGGATGGGGGGAAGAGAGGAGGAGCACAAAGTAAATTCAAACAGTTTCTATGAGAAGTGAGTAGAGAAAAGTTTTATAAGCATCCTTTCCTTTTCCCCCCTGAAAATACACTCAGAGGTTCTGTTCATGTATCTATCATCCTGACCCTCAGGTAGGTCTGTTTGAAAGTTTGACTGGAAGGGAAGTCGGATGTATTTTAAGCATAACACTATATTGCCCAAATGACTTGCTTAAAATTTTCTAAGGAAGTGTTATGACAAAAGAAAGTCCTCTTTATTCTCCTGCCATTTTACATCGAGCAGGCTTTGGTAACACTGCTGCTGATCCTACTATTCCTGAGCACCCCCTTCTGATGCTCATTGACTCCCTGAGTCTGTGGTAGGTGTCTGTTGCTAGACTAGGTTTGTGGGAGCTAGCTACTGTCTGCATGCTTGTTCCCTGCCAACACAGGTGGAGCATTACAGCTCGACTTTGGAAGTCTTCTATAGGAGCCCACGTAGAGCTTGAGTCTGCTGCAGTGGTGGAGGCTGAAGCTGAGGGGGATGAAGTGACTTACCCTCAGTCATCCTGCTAGTGAGCATTGGAGCAAGATAGAGTTGCAGTCCGGCAACATCTGACTCTTCCTCCGCTGCTTCCTTCACCCTCATTGCCACTTTTTCTGGCATTTCAGTAATCTTTCTAGAACAACTGAAAACTTGTAAGGATTGTTCCATTTTGATAATGTCTAGCCAGTCAGTACGTACAGTTTGTAATTATTTCGGTCAGGGTTTGTGCTTGGGGGTCATGTTTGTTCTCCTTTATTCCTGTGCAGCTTTGTAACTCTATGACTTTGGTAAGTCATTCCATGAATACATTTTAATTCTAATTAAGTAAGCTTGGTGACACTGGAATTGACTAGAAAGTTATCCATTCACCCAGAACATAACTGAACACTTTAAAAATGTGTGCTTATGCCTTGTTTGTGTTTTGGTAATACTTATTTAAGCTATTTGAGATTCATTTTCTGGAGTTTTGACAGTAATTAACAATAACCAAGAGAAAGAATTCCATTTGCTTTCACTATGTAGTATATTTTTAAAATTCTCTCACGGGACTCCAGTTATTGAGATGTTGGATCCTTTTCTTTTATGAAGTCTGTTTCTCATCTGTCTTCTCACATTTTCTATTTTTGTCCTTTGTTTTTTTCTACAAGATTGTTCAGTATTTTTAAATCTTAATATCAGCCAACGTATTTAGCTGCTAAGAGCTATTTTTATTTCTTACTATTCATTTTTATTGCATACTCTTCTTGTTTTTATGACTATGTGATGTTTGCTCTGAGGATACTATCTAGAGGATTTGGGTTTTTGTTTTCCTTTTTTTGAGTTTTTCCACATTATCTGTTGCCTTGGGGAGTGATTTTTATTTTCCTTTTGGCTATCCCACTTATCCTGAGTTTCTCTTTAATATTTTAGGCTTTGCTTATATGCTTGGTGATCCCTGGTTTTCTATGTAAACATAAAAATTGCACACTATTAAGAGGTTTCAGTGTACTGGAAGAATTGTTGGCTGTCAGATTTTACTCCAGGAAGGGTAGATAGCACTTACTCTATGGAATCCCTAAATGTTCAAGGTGGGACTCAACCATGTCTGTGTTAGCTGCCCTTGTTTTCCTTAGACAGTTTAAATTTTGTAAGGAAGATGCCTCCAGCTCTAGTGGGGCGTGACAGCAGCATATCAGTGGTGATTTCTGGAAACAGAACTTTGAATCCTTTGCATCAGCCTTGTATTTCACCCAGTGAAGGTTTAATGGCACCATCCATTCATCCATCTGTCCATTATTGTTTAGCCACCAAATCTAGTAGTCATCCTTACTTCAGCCTTCTCTTCTCTTTTTTTTTAAATTCATTATTCACATGTGCATACATTGTTTGGGTCATTTCTCCCCCCTGCGCCCCACCCCTACCCTTTTCCCCTCCACCCCCCTCGCTTCCAGGCAGGTCCTGTTCTGCCCTTATCTCTAATTTTGTTGAAGAAAAGACATAAGCATAATAAGGAAGACAAAGCATTTTTGCCAGTTGAGTTAAGGACAGCTATACAGAGAGATTTCTAGCATTGCTTCCATGTACAAATGTGTTACAACCCAAGTTGATTCATCTCTAACTGATCTTTACACTGTTTCCTGATCCCCTTCTCATGTTGACCTCTGTCACTTCAAGGTTTCTGTATCAGTTCCTCTGCAGTGGGGATAGCAAATGCTTTCATGTTTTGGGTTTCCTACCTATCCCCATACCTCCTGTATGTGCTCTCCCCTTAGCATGTGACCCAAGTCCAACCACATTGCTGTATTTGCCCTAGATCTAAAGTCCACCTATGAGGGAGAACATATGATTTTTGGTCTTCTGAGCCTGACTAACCTTGCTTAGGATGATGTTCTCCAGTTCCATCCATTTACTTGCAAATGATAAGATTTCATTCTTCTTCATGGCTGAGTAAAATTCCATTGTGTATAAATACCACATTTTCTTAATCTATTCATCAGTAGTAGGGCATCTTGGTTGTTTCCATAACTTGGCTATTGTGAGTAGTGCTGCAATAAACATGGGTGTGCACATGCCTCTGGAGTAACCTGTGTTGCATGCCTTTGGATATATCCCCAGGAGTGGGTTTGCTGGATCATATGGCATATCTATGTTTAGATTTTTAAGAAGCCTCCAAATTTTTTTCCAGAGTGGTTGCACTAGCTTGCATTCCCACCAGCAGTGTACGAGGGTTCCTTTTTCCCCATATCCTCGCCAACACCCGTTGTTGGTGTTGTTTTAGATGATGGCTAGTCTAACAGGGGTGAGGTGGAATCTTAGTGTGGTTTTGATTTGCATTTCCTTTCATCTCTTCTCTTGATACCTCCCATAATACACTAAATAACATATATATCTGACCACATACTTGGAACTATTTCAGGTACTTTACACATGTTTAATCACTTGATTCCCTTACGAGCTTATGAGGAAAATATGGTTGCCACTCTGACTTTTGGATGAGGAAACTGAGGCACAAAGAGGATAGGGCCATGTGATAAGTAGCTTAGAATGTATCTTGGGTCCTGCAGGAAGTGGCATATCTGGGATTCAAACCCAGTCTGTGCTGATACGTACTAATTAAGGTTAAGATTAGAAATACCAATGCATGTATCATTTAAAATTGTCAAAACTTCAACTTTATGAGCTGTTTTTCTCTAGTATACTGGGGTGGAGAGTTGGTAAACGTGCTCAGTTATAATCTTGAACTAGGAACCCATTGTTTGTCCATTGAGCCTGTGCCAAACACCTGAAGCAGCATCTGTGTCCAGTTATGTTGCCTAAAGCCAGGACATCTGAGTTAGTCTGGGATAGTCAGTTAGGAATGTGCAACATGCTTCAGCACCTTGTCAGTGCCCTTGAAATGTTGGGTATGCACTGTAAGGTGTACCTTCAGATAAATTTGAACACTATTTGAACTCCTCCCCAACCCAGGACTGACTGCACTGATAGACGATGGATATTCACTTGTGCTGGAGACAACCATCCTGGATGGTAGGCAACAAAAGAATGAGGTCAACTTCAAATTTCCAGTGGCTCTTATCAACATTTATTCTTCTGTTTCTGATGATTCAAGTAAATAGCCAGAAAAGGGGTAAGTACATCAGACTTACAGAGAATGAGCAAGCCTCAGTTTTATTTTCATTTTGTCTATAAAGCAATCTTGTTTCTTTGTTGACCTCTTCAGGTTTTTACTGGTTAAAATCCATTTCTCTGTAATCTTTTATGTACTTTTAGTTTCTTTTTAAAAGGTCCTTAAAGGTAGATCAAAATATCCTTTTATCACTTAAAAAGAATAGAGTATGATTTATATACAATATTCTTTTAAGATACAGATCTGTGAGTTTTGACAATGCATGTAGTCATTAACCACCCCCATCAAGATAGGGCATGGACCCAGCATGCAAAAATTCTCCATGCTCCTCTGTTTTCTGCCCTTTCCAGCTTCATCCCAGCCAACATTGTTCTGTTTTCTGTCTCTAATTTTATCTTTTTAGAATGTTATATAAATATTACTTTATTTAAATACATTAGATAGGTATTATCTAGCTTATTTCCATGAAGAATATTATCATCCTGCTATCCTGTGGCTTCATTTTTATATCATTTCCATAATTAAACAGATCTCTTTACCCAGTTATTAATTAAATAACTTTATTATTATGATTATTACTGATTTTTAATGTGAGCACTTCTAATATATCTCTGATTTTTGTCTTATATAAATAGCTTTATAATTTATTACTACAGTGAATATCATGCCCACTATATACAAAAAGAAGAAAACACTTTTTTTTTTTTTTTTTGGTGGTACTGGGGTTTGAACTTAGGGCTTCATGCTTGCTAGGCAGGCACAAGAAAAACTTTTCATAAACATTTGTAGTCTGAGGTAGATACCTTTTTTACACTGGCTTTCCTCTCCTTCCCACCTTCCCTTCTTTCCTTCCTTCCTTTCTCTTTCCCTCTCTCTTATACCTTCCTCCTTTCTTTTCATTTTCTTTTCAGGGTAACTTTTTAAATTGCATAGTGCCCATGTATTCCAAGATGTAATGTTATTGTATAGATGTAAATATGTATTAATAGGATTGTAATCTGAGTTGTTACTTTTCAGTTGTGTAAGCCAGCACAGAAAAATATTTTTTCTACAAAGGTGAACTCATAACTGTTTAAGTGTAACATACCTCATAACAGTCTAAAGACTGATTATGGGGCCATAGAGGGTGACAGTCTGAAAGTAAGTGTTGGAGCACTGATGGCTAGGCATGTTTACAAGTTGTGTTTGTAGATTTAAGGGGTACTAGAATTCCCACAGCCCCTTTCTTGGTGTCGTCATTGAATCTATAGTCAGTCACTTCTTCATTTTCTTATAGTTGCCTGGAGTGAAATCTTTCCTAGCATTCTAACCCCAAAGTGCTCTAGCGTTGGTGCACTTTCATCTTTTTACCCTTTAGCTTTTTTTTTTTTTTTTTAAAAACAAAGCTTCAAAAAGCAACATGAAGCCAGTGCCCTCTCAGTCTGTGCCTGCAGGATCTTTCTTTTTACAGAGAACACATGCTTTTGCAGACCCATGTCCACCATTGAAAATGGTTTGACTGTTGTTCTTCATCGTGCATCCAGGTTATTAACAGTGTTCTGTGTTATATGTACGTGTGCAGTTATTTCTTCTTCCCCAGGGATACTTCGTGATTTGAAATGTACAACGAACAATTTACAAGTGTGGGACTGTTCTTGGAAAGCACCCCCTGGAGCAGGCCATGCTACTGTTAATGAAGTTTGCATTAAAGACAGGTAACGGAAAGCCTTTGATTACTTTACAGATACAACCTAAAGGTTCTTTGTTTTTCATTTTAGATTATTCCAGTTTCATTCTGAGATTTTTTACATTTTAATCCTTAATTCTGTTCATTAAAAATTCTAAATATTACATCAATCAATGTAGAAACAAACCCTTTTCCTCGCCAAAGGTTTGATTCTTTTGTGACACAAGTAGGGGAATATGGAGCACACCTGCAGTATGCTGATCTCAATGGAAAGTTTTACTGGTCTACCCTGAACCAGAGTCTACCTATATTGGGTTGAATCTGGTTGTGTCTGGTAGAAAATGTTGGTAACAGTGGCGCAGCACACAGACATTTGCTTCCTTGGGAAAGTCTTGGAGTTGGGCAGTTCAGGATTAGCATGGTTGTTGATGGCCAGAGACCCAGTCCCTCTTATCAAGCTTTGCCATCTTTAGCTTGGGATCTCATAGTTCAAGGAACAACCGTCAGTAGATAGTTTCAGAAGGGCGATTTTCTTTAAGTAGATTTGTAAGAAGTCCTACCAAACACCTTTGACTAGAACATAGTCAGGAGGCTAAACCTGGGTCTATAAGAAGTAAATTCTTCTAGGTGGCTGGCAACATACCCGGCAAACAGTGCATCCATGTTATTAAGGAAGAGAGACATGGACATTGAGAGGCAGGTGGCAGGCTCTGCCATATCCCCTTTACACTCTCAAGTAATCTTAGGGTAGGCTAGAAACTATTCTGCTCACAGTGGAGAGCTGTGGGCCACCTGCTCACCTGAACAATTTGTATTGCTTTCCCTAACCCCAGCAGGATGAGTTTCTCAGCAGTGCCAGAGGCAATCTCAGTGAGCTTTCCCCAGTCTGTTTGCTCTGAGTGGTCCTAATGTAAACTGACATAATGTGTATTTAAATACAACCATATTTTCCCCATTCAGTGTATGTTTTTTCAGCACTGTTCTAAGCATTGAGGTAATTTATCAGTCAGGACAAACCAGGTTATACTGCTGACACAGCCCCCAATACTAATTCCTTATGTCTTGCCTGTGAAAATAAAAGGTTATTTCTCCCTTGTGTTCTGGTGTCAGCTTAGAATCTCTACCCTGTTTTTTCCCAAGTGCCCAGGTGTTAGGAGCTTGGTGGAAGGAGAATGAGAGTGGACACAGCTTGTACTGGCTCCTACAGCTTCCTTCCTGAACTAATACATGCGGCTTTCACTCAGAGTTCTCAGGCCAGAGGAGGACAGACGCACAAGCGTGCAGAGGAGACAGGACGTACAAGAGTGCAGAGGAGGACAGATGTACAAGGGTGCAGAGGAGGACAGATGTACAAGCGTGCAGAGGAGGACAGATGTACAAGAGTGCAGAGGAAGATCGTGAAAATTTTGGTCAATAGCATGAATGCTGGCTGTAGGCCATCCTGACAGAAAGTTAGTTCTGGCTTCCCTGGAGTTCATAGTAAACAAATAGTAACTTTCTCTCTGTGTGGAACCAGAGAGGAGAGTATCATTTGTCAGCAAGATAATTAGATGGGGACTAGTAGCATTTTTGAAAGCAAAATGATGAGGAAGTTTTATTAAAATAAACTTTGGGCCAAGGCAGAGCAGGGGTCAAGTTGAGGGCATGTGTAAAAGGGCCACAAATGGCCAACTTTACTTCTTTCCTGGGTGTCCATTGAGCTCCATCTTAGTATAGGCATTGTGTGGTGGCCTGCAGGTGCTGGGTGCTGAAGGGGGATAGAGGTGAGGCTCATAGGGAAGGTTGATACAGGATTTGAATGGTATGCTGAAGCCCCAGCTTTCTTGGATGAATCGTCTCTGCTAACTCATACGTTATGGCACAGTCTAGTTATTTTTCTACCATCAAACTGATAAAATACCATTAATCTTTCCTTTTTTTAGTCTTAAAATGCAGTACAAGTCAGTTTGTTTTTGCATACAAAAGAGCATAAGGTATTTTCCAGTGTGTTTTGTGTTAATCGAGTTTCTATGAAAATGGAACTATTTTTATCTGCTAATTAAAATTCTGTTTCTTTCATTGTAGGACCCATTCATGTCACCGATTAGAGAAAACAAATATTAAAATCCCAGCTCTTTCACCTGGTGATCATGAAATGACAATAAGGTCTCTACATGATTTTGAAAGTTCTTCAAGTAAATTCATACTAACTGAAAAAAATGTCTGTGAGTATTTGAAAATTTATTATTATTATTATTAAGTTTTCTAAAACAGTCTCACTATGTAGCCCACACTAGCCTTGAATTATACAGTCTTCCTGCTTTAGCTACCCAACTCTATGATTATAGGTATTCTCCACCATACCAGCTGAAAAATGATTTTAAAACAGGACAGTGTCATTGTCAGTATATGGTGTGTATTAGTTTCTTTTGCATAACTGTGCCAAAATACCCAAAAGAACAACTTAAAGGAGGAAAGAATTATTTTGACTCACAGTTTCAGAGGGTTTAATCCATGGTCACTTGGTCCCAGGCACTTGGGCAGAACATTGTGGCAGAGGAGGGCTTGTTACTTCATGGCAGACAAGAAACATAGAGCAAAACAGGAAGGGGCCAGTGACTAGATACCCAAGGACCTGTCCCCAGTGACCTACTTTATTCAACTTGGTTCTACCTCTTAAACTTCCCAGAATCTCTCAAAATAATGCCACCAGCATGGGACCAAGCCCTCGATACATGAGCCCTTTGGGGTAGGGCACTTCATATCCAGACCATAACATTCTGGTCCAAAGGGCTCATGTCCATCTCATAATGCAAAATGCATTCAGTTCATTTCCATGAGTCTAACATACTCTTAAAAGTTCCAACTTTCAGAAGTCCAAATTCAAAGTCTCTTCTGGACTCAAGGCATACTCTTAGTTCTAAGTGAGCCCTGTAAGATTCCAAGATGCAGTGGCACAGAGTAAATACTCCCATTCCTACAGGGAGGAATGGGGACATAGAAAGGAGGAATGAAATGAAAGCAAGATAAAAACCCAGCAGGGTGAATGTTAAATCCTATAGTTCCTTGTTATCAGAGATGTGTGGTATCATGGTCTGAGCTCCAAAGGACTTGGACAGCCTGCCCTGTGGCCTTGCTCTTTGGAGCCCACATGGCCTCTCTCTTGAACTGGCTCCACTCATTGATTGCAGCTTTCCTTGGCATGTGTTCTATGTTCCCTAACATCCTGAGGTCTCCATTCCAGCTAAGGCTTTACCTTCAGAGCTCCACACATAACTCTCAGAACTTGCCTGCCAGGAACCTGACCCTGCCACAAGTGCTTAGCCTCATAAGTCTTCCTTTGAAATCTCAGTGGAAGCCCCCACGACTTCACAAGTCTTACATTCATCATGTGGACTACACGAAGGTCTGCCACCAGTTTGAGCAGTATCTAGGCCCTCTTGGCCCACAGCTGCAATGGCTTCTCAGTGCTTGAGCAGCCGAACTCTGGAAAACAGAGGGCTCTGTATGAGCAGGATATCCTGGAGGCTCTCCCTTCTCAGAGAAAGTCTTTCAAATGAGCTTACCATTTTATACCCCAGAGTCTGTAGAGCATGGGGTCTAACCAATTTCTGTGATGCCCTCAGGGCATCTTTTCTATTGTTCCAGTGCAAAGTTCTTGGCTTTTTTTTTTTTAAATGGTGCTAATCTGTTTAACAAGCACACTCTTACTATCTGTCTTTGACTACCCTAGAAGAGACCCCATTCATTTCTTCACATATCCTTGGGCAAACTGTGCTTCTCTGTGGCATTTCTCCTAGTTGAATTAATAGCCCATTGTATAGTTAGGTATTTGCAATATGTCTCCTCCTCAAGGAAATGGCTTACCTGAAGTAGAGACTTTCACTTCTGCACTGAGACCCAGCACAGTGTTTTGTGGATAGCAGGTATTTGTCACAGGCTTACTCAGTGAATGTCTAGGACCTAGGCTACAAATAGGTTGGATACACAAAGTAAACTTGGGCTGTCAGAGATGGAAATTTTACTATGCAACAAACCTTTAAAAACCTGAGTCTTGTCTGTCAGGGATGGCAAGTAGGTTTATTAGTTCCTTACCACTGCATGGGACAGCATCAAAGTGATGTTGTGATAATTTTATAAGGTGACTGACTTTGAAGCAAGAGAGAGGAAATACAATTAGTTTGGTAATTTATTCAATTTTCTGGACAGATGTGTGTTTGCAATGATCTGTGTCAGACAGCAGAGATTTTTTTTAAGAATGATAATAAGTATGCTGTCCAGCAACATATTCTTTCCTATTTTCTGGCTGAAGCATTGTCTCAGGGTAGTAGAGGTGAGCCATGTTAATTATTTTCTTTCTATTCTTGTTGTTACTTTCTTTCACTTCCTTGTGAAAGTATTTTATATATATCAGCCATGACCCCAGCACTCACAGAAATATTGTTAACACTTAAATTTTCTGTGTGTGAAGTTCATACTGTTTTATAGTCAGCTTAATAGAAAGCATGTTATAGATGGGTTTTCAAGTTATTATCACTTATAAACCCATATTATTCCTAATTCCTGCACAGTATTTGATCACATGGAGGTATCATAATCACTTGAGCTCTACTAACATATTTTTATTTCTAGTTTGTTAGTATCATAACAGTGTTTTAATGAACATCTTTTGCTGTCATGTTTAGGTCTTTCGCCATTTGGAATTATTTTGTAGTAAAGTGTGAGAAATGTAAATAAATTTTATTCTAGATCTTTAAAATCCTCAGGAATCTGTAAGAAAGCCAGTTTGTATATCTGATTATTTTAAGTAGGGAGTAGGGCATCCAAAGTTCTCACCTGGGAAGTTACTTGATGATAGTAATGTTAGAAAGAAAGAATTAGCAAAGCAAATCAAGACAGACTAGGTGATTCATTTGGTCAGTGGTTCATTATTTCTTACATATAATATAAATGTATTGGTAGCATTTTTAATAACAATGGGCTCAATGATGATTAGAATGATGGCACTGGAATAAAAAAAATTGAAAAGGGAGGTGACTATAAGCTAGAAGAGATCAACAATGCATGTCTTGGTCCATTTGGGCTGCTATAACAAAGTACCTTAGGCTAGGTAATGTATAAACAACAGAAATTTTTATCTTGTGGATTTGAAGATGGGAAGTCTAAGATGAAGGCACCAGCAGATTTCTTGTCTGGTGAGGACCTGTTCCTCATAGGTGGTACCTTCTATGTGTCCTCACCTGGTAGAAGGAACATACTCTACATACTCCCTCAGGCCTCTTTTTATAAGGGCACAGATCCTATTTGTGAGTGTAGATTCCCCATTGCTGGATCACCTTCCACAGGTCCCACCTCATTATCACCGAGGGGGTTAAGTTCCAACATGAGTTTGGGGGACACAAATATTCAGGGTGTTGCAGTATATCATTAAATCTGAGTGCCTTGTATGGAAGAGAAACTGCACTCTGAAGTGGGTATCACTGTGCATTAGATCTGGGCTCAGTGGTAATTTCCTACCAAATAAAAGTATGAGAAATTAAGTTTTTCCAGATCTGAAGATGGTTTCAAAAATCTTTTATACTTACAAAGCAAACAAGATTTATACATATACAATTTTGTACTTACCAAGGGAAAGGCTGTCTCTCTTTCTCATCCTTTCTATCTTTTTCTCTCTCTCTCTCTTTCACACACACACACACACACACACACACACACACACACCACACAAAGTCCTTGTTAAGACTTTTAGCATCTCAGTTTTTTAAAATAATGTTAAAATCTGGAGGCAGAATAAATAACATGAATCTCCTGATTTTCTAAGGAAGAAAGAGCAAGTAGGTTATGAGCAAGCTGTCCTAGCATTCACTAAAATAAATAAGCAAGACTTCCATTAAATTCCATCCCATCTGAAAAGTTCTGAGTTTCTAGAAAGCAAGTTAAAATTGTCCTTAGATGTCTTATTTTAGCTCAAAAGAAGAACAGATGACAGCTCATGGGAGACTTCTGTGCTTACTATGAAGAAAAGGAAGGGAATAGTGTAGTTTTAGTGTTTTCATTTGTAATTATGGCTTTTATCTTTAGCTTGAAATGTTGGCTACAACTTGTGCTTTTAAGAGTTTCATACCCCACTCAAATGCAAAGTATAAATTATGTGGTCTTTGCAGGAAGGGAAGCATTTCAGTGGGTTAATGTTGCCTCAGTTAAATATTCCCGGGTTTTATAATGCTGAAGGTTCTTCATCATGACATTGAATCATTTGAAGAAGAACCATACCTTTGGTAGCCTCTCATTCTTTTCTGGCTACACTGGCTCTTGAACTTTCCCCTCCTGGCACCAAATCAACTGTGTGCTGTCATCCACACTTCTCCTTTTTCACAAGCAGCTTCCACTGAAAACTTCTACTGAGCATCCTCCACTGTCCCTGAGTAGTTGTCTAACAGTCGGCTTTGTCATATAGTTTAGGCTTTAGATCTACATGTTCTAGTCTATGAACAGCCCTAAACATTCTGCAAAAGTCCACTGTAGAACACTGTCCAGCAAATAATTTTAAAACTTATTTTCAGGTTCCAGGACTGGCTAATTTATAGTGATCTTGTTTTTGTAATATTTGGCACATTCAGCTGCCCTATCCCATACACTCCTGCAGTTTCTTTCACACTTACCATGACTTTTTAAATTGGCCCATGGGCTCTATATATAGAATAACTAGAAGTTAGGAAAGAAAGGCTGCATCCCTGGATTTCTTCTCACATGTCTTCATGTGTGTCATCTGAGTAGGATTCATGCAAGGGAGTTCAAGTCTCTGCTCCTCATACCAGAGAGCCTAGGTTGTATAGGATGGATCACACTCATACCTTGTTTTCTGTGGTTCCAGAATTTTCTGCAACTTACTCACCCCTTGCTAGCAGGGAGACATGAAGCTTTTCAAGAATTTGGTACTCTTTCTGTAACTTCTTTTCAGTGCTGGTTCCACCCCCATACACTCCCAAATTCTTGTGTGTGGTTTGTCTTACTTCCTTCTTAGAATTCAGCTTTAAAGGCCACGGCCTTCCAGACTTCTGTCACAGATGTCAGTAAGTGTCTGTCACTGGTGCTCCTCAGTGAGCTGTGTTTTATTTGGCCCAGATGACAACCAGTTTCTTTTTAGCTCAGTGATCCTGGATTTTACTCCATTTTCCTTCTCCTTCTAGATCATTCCCTCTCTGGATTTTTCTGGTGTGTCTGGTTCTTTTAAGGTGTAATTGTGTCTCAGCGGCCTGTAAAATGAACTCTGTCTATTTTGTCTGTCTATTCTCATTTCTTCTGCTTCACTCAGTGAGTTCCTTAGAGTCCTTGCTGTCCTTGCTGAGCTAGCTGAAGAACACTCCAGTCCTTGTCTCTTCTTTCCTGACACCTAGTCACCCACAGCCAGCTTCTGCATCTCTGTGTGGTGATTCCTGATGCTCCTGCCTCTCTTGCAGCTTTTTGAGGTGGAACCCTCTTAAGAAATCTTGATTGTTTCTCTTTCTCACTAGAGTGAATCCTTCATTTCTCCAATGCAATAATTTCTTTGAAATGTCCAACAGGTTTCTGTCCTTTCTTTCTCATGTTTAGTCTTATAATCCGTAGCATTGTTACTCCAGCTAGGACTTTTCCATGGTCTCTTATCTAGTTGATCACCTTATCTCCTGGTCAGTCCCTTGCAGGTTGTGTTGCAAACCACTGCTACACTAACCTTTCTGAAGTGTTTCTTGTGTCCCGCACTTCCTCACAGTAACTCACTGACTTCCTAACTCAATGCCTTGGTCAGTAGGGCAGTGTTGCTGCTACTAGTGATGTCCACAACTGGGAATAGGGCAGAGAATTCCTTAAGTAGGTGGCATATGCTAGTATGAGGGGCTCTGACACTGGGAGACAAGTGAGAAGGCAGTAAGAAAATCCACAGAAACTTGTCCAAAGCAGCTTTCTGTATTCTGCCGTTTTCTTAGGCCTGACATACTACCATACAAAGGAAGCTTGCTCTTTGCCTACTTGTTTATAGGCCCCAGACCAGATGCCATTAGAATATTTCAGGACCACTTGTTGCTATTTGTATTAGAAAATGAATTGTGAGCCTGGCACCAGCAGCTCACACCTGTAATTCTAGCTACTTGAGAGGTTGAGATCAGGAGGCTGGTGGACCTAGGCCAGCACCGACAAATAGTTCTTCGGACCCAATCTCCAAAATAACCTGAGCAAAATGGACTGGAGGTGTGATAGAGAGCCTGCTTTGCAAGTATTGGAGCCCTGAGTTCAAACTCCAGCCCCACCAGAGAGAGAGAGAGAGAGAGAGAGAGCAAGAGAGAAAGAGAAAGAGAGAGAGAACGTATATGGATTTGAAACAAGCACCTTTTCTTGTTTGCTTAATTAATCATTGGGAGCTGCCTATACAAACACTTATGTATACTTATTTATTTATAATACTTATTTTTTATATTCTCTTTTTCTGAATTTGTTTTTATTCTTGATTATTTATTTTTACCCAGAAGAATAGTGTAAAAATAGTTGATTAATGGCAGTATAATATGAGAAATTACTATTTTGCTAATTTTCTCTTTTGTTTCCTTTTTGTTTTAAGCCTTAATTCCAGACACTCCAGAGATCTTGAATTTATCTGCTGATTTCCCGACCTCTACATTACACCTAAAGTGGAATGACAAGGGCTCTGTTTTTCCACATCACTCACATGTCATCTGGGAAATTAAAATTCTACGTACAGAGAGTATGAAGCTCATAAAATTTGTAAGTTGGAACAAAAATAGATTTTCCCTCTATGACATAAAGAAACTGAACAATTTTTAAAAATGCTTTTAGAGGATATCACTGAATTTTGGGATTACTAAGGAGATCAAATATTTTCAGGGTTCATTAAAAACCACTGTTATAGGAACTTGAGGAAATTAAAGGAGGAATACTCCCTGACTCTACCACTTGTACTTTTAATTTAGTTTATTATTTTACTTTTATCTAATATTATATATAACATAAAGGTTTTAAACATGTTTAGCCATAATAATTGTTGGGAAATAAATAAATTTGAATTTATCAGAATCTGAAATAAAATTCTAATATTTATTATGCTTTTTTTCCTCTTATGTTTGAAACCCTTTTTATGAATTTAGTTTGTTCTTGACTTAATGAGAATAGTTATGACATTTTAACAGGTGGTATGTGGATACTAAAATAGGAGGAATACTGTTTGAAGGTAAAGGAATTATTATAAACTATGTAACTCATTTATACAAGACATATAATAAGTCCGCAATGGTAAGGTAGTAGTTCCCTAGCTTGGGAGAAATCTTTATATAGAAAGTAAGAGCAAAAGAAAAGAAAAGAAAGTAAGATCAACAGCCAACGAAAATGGAGAAAGAACAAATTAATTTAAAACAGTAAAAAAAGAGGTAAATTGTGACTTTTTTTTGGTGGTGGTACAGGGGTTTGAACTCAGGACCTTAATACTTGCTAGGCAGGCACTCTACCACTTAATCCACTCTTCTAACCCAAAATGTGACATGTTTACTATGTTATTAACATTATTATTTAAGCCAGAAGTGTTACTATGAAATGATCACATCACAAGCTATAACAACATGAATGCTATCGTTTTGTTATAGCTTAATCATCAAAAATACTAGGCATTAGTGTTTTATTTAAGGCATTGTCTGTCCAAGTCTCTGTGTTCAGCCATGGAAGCTGTGCCCCACACAGGGCACAGAACGGGATGTGCAGAAGGCCCCGGAGCTGTCCAGCACCTCCCTCCCCAACACTGCTAGATGTTTTTCCCTAGGAACATATTAGTTCAATTCTTTCAGCTGTCTCTTTCATTATTTATCTTCATTTACCCAAATAACATGCTTGTGCTACTATTTTTTTTTATTATTTATTTATTTATTTTTAGTTTTGAGCAATGTTTTATTAACTTCCACAGTGGAAGATGAGAATTTAGTCATCCTTCACCTCCCAGTTTACTCATGCTCTCATCTCCCTCCTTCCTGCTCTCTCGTTACCCTCCCTCCAATTTCCTGCTTCTCCAATATAGTTCTTACAGTTTTTGGTACAGCAGTATCATTATCTTATGGTTATGTAAATACTGCTCACAACTTTTCCTTTTTTGTCCTTTGTAAAGTTTTATTTCTCTGATGAATTCAATCATAAATTACATAAATTTATTTTTAAATTTTCAAGTGTATTACGTATTTTGCCAGTTTATCTTTGCACATAAATCTCTCTGAAGGACCTCTGGCTGGCTGCCCAACCTTTCTCACCTAAGGGCTTGTGTGTACGCTGCCAGTGTTGGTATAGCACAGTGTGGTGGCTAGCTGAGGCCGCTGGTGGCCAGAGGTGTCACAGGGGCTCCAGCAGCTTCAGCTCCTACACGCCACCCTAGGTTTGAAAGGATTAGTACATGGGTACGCCTGTAGCCCACTCAAGACAGATGACAGTGTCTGTCAGCTCACTTGCTGGGAAGCTGTTGAGGGATCAACATCATCATCCACGGTACTCCTTACAGCTTTTTCTTGTAACAGAACCTCTCTTTCCTAAATCTCCTGTCTTCCTCTTATTTCTGCATTTTGGTGAAAACAGCTCTCTGCTACCTATAATAGCTAGGTGGCAAATGTAATTTATTTTTTAAATGTATTGTCAAAAAATTTAAGTCTGTCAACTACTATTGAGAATATGAAGAATAATTAGAACTTTCATACATCACCATTGGGAATATAAAACGCTACCAGATGAAAACATGAGACAGCATCTTTTAAAATCTCTTTTTATGTACTCACGTGTGATTACTAGCTTAACCGGACACAGAACTTCAGGTTGGAAACATTGATCAAGATGTCCCATTGTTTCTTCTTGTGAGATATATCTGTCTTTATTCTGCCAGACACATTGGGCCTCTTTTAGTCTAATCTGTCACCTTGGGTACTTTCCTTGTTTTATTTCTTTGATTTCCTCCTCTCTGTTTTCTCCTTTTCTTTTAGAACTTCTGTTCTTTAGAAGTTGGACCTTCCAGACTGGTCTTTTAATTTCTTATCTTTCCTGTTTTTCATCTGCCTTTTACTCTATTTTCTGAGAAACTTTTCCTAAACCTTGTCTTACAGTCCTGCTATTAAATTTCTATTAATGTATTTTTTTAATTTTTAAGAGATATTTTAAAAAAGAATCTGTTTTTTTTAGTGAATTCTGTTCTTGTTTCATGCATGCAGTATCTTATCTCTGAAAATATAATATATATATATATATATATTTTTTTTTTTTCCTTTCTACCTACCCTGTTTCTTCATCTTAATCTTTTTTCTTTATTTTGGATTTTGGCTTTCATATCAGATTTTTTTTCTATGTTTCCTGGTTGCCCTGGTTGCTGCTCATATTTAAGTGAGAAGCTCTTAAGACAAAATCTGATTAGAACTTCGGTCTGCTTGGAGGGGCAGGTTGCCTGCAGGCTTCCTTATTGGATCACTAGCATGGGCTGTCTTGTTGGCAAACTCCTTGTTGGAGTTATTTTAAGTATTTTGTCTTGATCTGTTCATAAGCCCCAGGCATGTTCTTTAGACTTCTGCCTGGTGGGTATAAATCTGGCCACCAGTATCCTGAGAACAGTCTAGGGGAAGAGGATCCAGTTTAGCACTCCCTATTTTTGGTGTGGTATTTCCCATTCTTAACTCTTCCCTGAGTTCCCTCAACCCAGAAGTATTCTGTTTTATTTTTCCAGAACACAAATCTGTATTCTGCTAGAAGACTAGTCCTGCGGTAGCGGAGTGTGTGGCAGGTGATCTGGCATCTAATGTTGTCTTGAAACAACCTTTTAGCCATCTTCTTGTTTTGAGCCCACTTTCTCCCTGCATTTCCAAGGGAAGGTGGTGAAGCACTCCCTGAGCCCTTTGGCAGTTCTATGATAGAAGCCAGGTAGTTGCCTGGTTTTTTTACCGGAGGCTTAAGATGCAGTTTTCTTAGGTGTTATAAGTCAATTGTTATCATCCATCAGCTTTCCAACTTCCAAAATTTTAGTAGTGTTTTTTGTTTGTTTGTTTTGCTTTGTCCTTGTATATCACTGTCTTTAAAAAGTTTTGTTTAAGACTAGTGGAGGGGTTCATATGATAGAGTGCCTGCCTAGCAAGCATGAGGCCCTGAGTTCAAACTCCAGTACCACCAATCCACAAAATCTTTTTCCTCTTGTTTTAGAAGGATTTCAAGAGTAAGAGAAAAGGAAATACATTTATTTATTGTCTTTTAACTGGAACTCCCAAGATATTTTTCAGTAGATCATAAAAATTTGATTGAAATTCCTCAAAGTTGAGATTATTAATACTCTATAGTACTATTAGGTTTCATTTAAATTAAACTTAAGTAAATACTTTCTTTTTAAAAGAAAATGTGTAATATAGAATGTTTATATTAAAAATGTACATAGGTAGTAATGAACTCAAATGTAATCTAAAAATATTTATTTTGATGAAATGCTACCCCTCTCCTTTAACTTCACCTCTGAGAGACACAAACCCAGTATTTTTTGTCTAAATGGAGATCATTTAGACAGCAGTATATTTTCTTAGGTATTATATTGGATTTTTTGATGACTGTCTGCATCTTATTTAGTAATACAGTAGGGCCTAATGTTGATAGATGAACATAATTGAATAATGATCATTCTCACTCTGCTTTTTCTGTTAGGCTTTTTAGAAAACCAAGGTACTTTTACAAAAAGTTTCAGCCATTTACTTAGTGGATAATTACGTGCAGTCTATTGTACTTTTCTTTTTATCTTAAAGGAAAGCAGAACATGTCACTACTTGGAAATAAGTTTTGTGTTTATTTTTAGGTGACATACAACACAACTCTGAATGGTAAAGATACAGTACATCACTGGAGTTGGGCCTCAGACATGCCCTTGGAGTGTGCCACTCACTATGTGGGGATTAGGTGCTACATTGAGTACCTTCATTTCTCTGGTCACAGAGAGTGGAGTGACTGGAGCCCAATGAAGAACATTTCTTGTAAGCTTATATTTAAAGAATTTTTGTTTTGAATGAATTACATTGCTTAAGAGTGAGGTTTAAACTAGATAAATAAAACTCACTATAATAGCCATTGAAGAATAAGTATAAGTTGTATGTTGGTGGAAATGTGACCAAATCTCTATATATTTTTAAGTGGCTTCCCGTTTCTGGAGGCTGCATAGTTACTTCACAGAATACAGGGATCTGCAAGCATGCCACAAGTCAGCTATCCATTAACTAAAACTCAAGTGCAGGTAGCATGTTGGCAGGGTGATGAGGCTAAGAAATTGTTGACTATAAAATGAGGTCCTGAAAATATCTGGTAATCATTGTAGGTAGACACTCTAGTAACAGTATGGAGAACTAGATCAGAGCAAGGAAGGGCTGGAAACAGGTAGAAAATAAGGAGAATCTGTGGCAGTTGAGCAAAACACTATGGAAACATAATCTGGGGACTTGGGTTTAGACCTGAAAGGGGGGAAAGGTATGAAAACACTGGAGAGGCAGAATTAGAATTGGTGACTGGGTGCCTTTGGTAAGAGAGACACAGCGTCAAAGAGCTTGTTAGTTTGGGCAGATGGGTGGCTGGGGATCAGAGACAAAATGTGTGAACAAGGTAGGTAGGAAAGAAAAATTTCATTTTTAACATGTTGAGCTTGAGGCAGTGAACTGTCTGAGTAGCAGGGCACCCCCAAGGCAGTAGGAAATATCAGTTTAGCACCCAGGTAAATAGTTACAGCTAGAGATACCTGTTGGTGAATCATCAATATATATGTAATGTGAAGTAGTTAAATGCTGAAGGTCAGCATGACTTAGGGAAAAGGAATAGGGACCAAAGACACGTCCCTTAAATGCTCATGTATCTAAGGGTAGGACTGAAGGAAGGTCAGTAGCCTTAGAACTAATGGTACCCAGGAAAGGAGAGGAAGTTGAAAAGGAGGACTTTAGTCAACATATCAGATGCTGTGGAAATCAAAGAGAGAGATTACTGAATTTTTGAGCATGAGGCCAGTGAGCTGTTTTAGTAGAATGGGGTTAAAGTCAGACAGCATTGAAGAATAGGGGGATAGAAACTATTTGAGGGTATGGGGTAAGTTATGGCTTTAGTCTGCAGAGTTGGGATTAAGGAAAGATTGCTTTTTAATCTTACTTTCTATATTTAGGCTATGGAAAGTAAGAAATCTGCCCTAAATACATAGAATAATTTCAAAGGAATGGAGTTATTTAATGACTGGTGTATTTGGTGTGCATTTATATACAAACCCGCTGAATTTCAGCCTTTAGGCTTCTTTTTGTTTTTTTGAAGCATGGTCTCTCTGTGTAACCCAAAACTGATCTCGAACTCATGATTCTCCTACCTCTGCCTCCTGAGTGCTAGATTACAGGTGTGCACCACCATGTGCCTTTAGAATACTTAAACATAAATCTGTGACCTTAGATATTGGCCTCTGATCCAGTTCCATCCCCCACCATAGCTCTTTCCTAAGTACACGAAACCACACACAGTTTTATTTCTTAAGTGTGACTTGCTCTTTTGAAACCTCATATGCATACTTTATTTATATTTGGGTCAGCATTATTCCAAAAACCTAACAATATGTTTTGGTTCTACTGAGCTATTTTAAAAATCATGTTAGGAAAACATCTTATTATGGAGACTGCTTTATGAAAAGTTTTTTAAAGTGTTTATAATTCCTTTTGTTCTTTCTAGGGAATCCTGGTACTCAGACCAAGGCTTTTCCTCAGGATAAAGTGATACTTGCAGGCTCAGACATAACATTTTGCTGTGTAAGTCGAGACAAAGTGATACTAGCACAGATTGGCAGAACAGTTTGTCCCCTTATCCACCTCGATGGGGAAAACGTTGCAATCAAGATCCAGAATATTTCTGTTTCTGAAAACAGTGGAACAAACGTGGTTTTCACGACAGATGATAACGTGTATGGGACAGTCGTTTTTGCAGGATGTAAGTATACAGGGTTAAGAGAGAACCTCTCTGAACCTGGTTATCCTTGAAAGCCTAGATTCTTTTCTTCAGGTGATTCTGTTTCTTATTTCTGTGTTGTTTAATACCACTGATACACAAAGGCCCTAGAATTCTTGTGTGTTTCAAAATGAGTGCTAAGCTTCTTTCCTAGTTTCCTCTGTCTGTATGACTTGTAGGTTTTATAATTAGATTGAGACATCTACTGGCTGATAATGTAGTTTAAATTCTTAGTTAACAGCTTCATTGATTCAAGGGTCTGTAGTATATAATATTTCTTAATTCTGCATTGCTTAGGAGTTACATAATTTCCCACATAATTATACCCTCTTTAAGTACCTAAATTTACCTATCATGACTTTTACACAAAAATCTTTCTATAGCATAATACATCTTCTCTGACTTTAAATAACTTGAGGAGCACAGGAGGGCATAGGTGAGAGGTCTCACACTATGTAACTTGTGCTCTACCATTCATAGGCACCTCTATTAACTGACCACTCCTGCAGCCTAACATTCCACGTTTCTAAGAGTTGTGGTGGACCACCCTGCTAGTACAGCTTGTTTTGATGTAAACACGTAAACAATTACGTGTTTAGAGTTGTTAGTTTTGATTTTAGTTTTCCTGCCTCCTCTCATGGGTTCATCCAGCCAGGCTTCCTTTCTCCCTGCATTCTGGATTCAAAGGCTCTGAGTTTGTTCTAAGGGTTTCATGCATAAAGTGTGGAAAATGAGTGGATTTTGTGGTATTTCTTTGGATTGCTTGCTTAGTGGTTTTTCTTTTACTCTTTTATGGTTCTTGTGATGAATCACATTCTGATGCTGATACACTCCCAAGGGAATGACCAGGAGTAGGTGCACTTCTTGGCTTGATAGCTGTAACATTATTCTCTTTTTCTCTTCCTTGTAATTCATTTGGGAATTCAAGTGAAAGTTACGTTAAGTACAAATACAAGGCTTAGAAAATTATATTTTCTTTCCTAATGGAATCTTATTCGTTTGCCACATTTGTCACAAATGATCCTGGGGTGGAAGTGAGTGCCAGCGGTGTATGCAGAGAAGTTGCATGCTGTGTGCTGAGGAGCATGAAAGAAAGTGAACACTTAAAAAATGAGAATTTCTGTTATTTCAGACAGCGCTCTAATCTTTTATTATAGCACTAGATTGAGTCTTTAATTCATAATTTTACCTTCATTTATAGCATATGGAAGTTGAAATGTCATTTGGTATTTGTCAGTTCAGGACAGCAGTGGCATTTCTCTTCAGAAGGAGCTCTTCAGGGGCCTGGTATTGATTGCTCACCCCTGTTATCCTAGTGACTCAGGAGGCAGCAATCAGGAGGATTGTGGTTCAAAGGCAGCCAGGGCAAATGGTTCACGAGACCCTTTCTCGAAAACACCCATCACCAAAAAAGAGCTGGTGGAGTGGCTCAAGGTGCAGGCCCTGAGTTCAAGCCCCAGTACCACAAAAAAAAAAAAAAGGAGCTCTTGAGAAACTTCCAAGAGCAGCTTTTGATGTGAACTAAGAATTGAGATTCAGTTCTTTTTTCTTTATGGATATCTAATTACCCCATCAATTATTGAAAAGAATTTTAGAATCATCTTGTCAGTTTCCTCCTAAACTCACATACACAATCAGAACCCCTGCAGTTTTCATTAGGATTACATTAACTCTGTAGGTGAACTGAGGAAATTCCACTCTTTCACCATTGTGTCTTGCAAGCCATGAATATGGTAGCCCTCCATTTAGTCAGTTATTTTAATGAGGTGAGGTCTTGTATATCTTTTGATGAATTTATTCCCAAGTGCTTATTGTTTTCTGGTTTTTAAAATTTTTTAAACTTTGTTTTTAAATTTGCATTTTCTATTTGCTGGTGTATAAAAACACAGATGATATGTTTCTAGCTTTTACCTAACTTACTTATCTAGTAAGTTAATTTTGAAAAAAAAAATCAGTACATTTCAAATGTCCTCTCATAATTTTTCCTCTTCCATCACTCCTGTTTCTTTTGGTTTATTATTATTATTTGGATTCTAAGTATCTTAATCCTAAAATAATCATTATTATAACTATATTCTAAATTTTTGGTACGTACTTTTAATAAAATGTTGGAATTAAGCCACAGGTTTAAAACAGTTTTTGAAATAAGTATGTCAATGTTCCTTTAATTATCCGACTGTTAAGCTTTGATAAAAACCCTCATTCATTCTCAAATATTACCTAAAATGTCATTGAAGAATGATGTTTTGTTATTTTTATCTCTGGAGAGGGCATGTAAAATTTCCTATTTTGGTTAATAAACTAAGTAGTGTTTTAAAAATTCAGCTTTTTTGAAAAAAGTTATTTTAGAATATTTTTAAGTCTACAGCCATACCACCCTGAACACATCTGATCTTGACTGATCTCAAAAGTAAGGAGGGTCGGGCCTGTTAAGTGCTTGGATGGGAGAACATTTTTAAAAAGTATGTAATCGTTTTTAAAAAATACTTCTACCTGAAGTGAAAGATATTGAAGTGAAAGATGTTTGGATAAGTGTAAACACTGGGAAACACCAGTTTCTGTATGTTTGGTTAAATGTGACTATACAAAAATCAGTCTTTGTAATAATCAGTGTCAGATTGCAGCATTTTCATTTATCACAGTAACGGTTTCACACACACACACCAACCTTTTTTTTTTTTTTTTGAGCCCTGCCCAAACAAAGACAGAACAGTTTTCATTTTTAATATGTTTGGCACTTTTTTTTTTCAAATCACAATGTATAGATGAGAATACTTTTACCTGTAGCAGTTTTCTTTGAGAGATTTGGTAAACTCTGAAATAGAGTTTAAGAAAAATGATAATTGATTTGCCAGACTGCTCTTGGGAATTTCCAAATAAGCAGAGAGTCCCTTTTCTGTATATGCTAACCCATCATTTCTAATGTGATATGAACTCTGGTAAAACGTGCTATAGAAAGAATAATTCTACATTGGTCAAAAGTAAAGTGAAAATAGTAAATCATTTCTTTTTAAGAAAATTATACAAAACATTATCAATGTTTTATAAAGCTACATCTTTCAGATGTAGTTTTATAAATAACCACATTTTTTCTGTTTTCCATTAGATCCACCTGATATTCCCCAAAAACTGAATTGTGAGACACGCGATTTAAAGGAAATTGTGTGTACGTGGAATCCAGGAAGGCCAACAGGATTGGTGGGTCCACGAAACACAAATTACACTTTATTTGAAAGGTAATGGCTACTAGGAAAGAATGTCAAATGTGAATACTTTGGAAGGACGTGCTAAATGACTTAGAGAAATGTTCTGTTTCATTCCTGTTATTGACTCCACATGGAACTGGATATGCTGCAGAAAGTTGTATATTCTTTAAAAACTTCAGCTTCTGGTAAATCCAATGTCATTCGTGTCTCCTCTTTTAAAAACGAGGGGAATGAACCCTCACATGGGAACACTCTGTTTCTGGGTGGTGGCTTGTTATTTTCTGTAGCATATATGTTTTCTTCTCTGATAATCTAATATGTCTGCAATGAGAAATACAAACTTTTTATAAAGATCAATTGTTGTGGTAGAGTGCTTGCTTAGCAAGGAGAGGCCTTGGGTTCAATCTTCAGTACCAAACACATAAAAATAATTATTAGAAATTTGCCCATTTTCCTGCAATGTGTATCCTTGCTATTTTGAAATTATTTGTCTTTGATTCACAGTTTTTCAAGGAAGTACGTTACATTTAAAAGACTTGAAACATTTGCAAATGAAAGCTACCAGTTACTCTTCCAAATTCTTCCAAGTCAAGACATTTACAATTTTACCCTGAATGCTCGAAATCCTCTGGGGCAATCAGAGTCAACAGTGTCCATCAATGTGACCGAGAGAGGTGAGCTGTGGGGTCCCCGATGTCTTTAAAAGAACCATGGAAGTGTGACGTGCCTTGTGGTTCATCAAGAGTGCTTCTGTGAAGTAGTGTTTGCTGCCCTAAATAATTTCGAGTTTTACCATTTAACTGAATTTAAGCAAAAATTTGAATGAGTTATTTAGATAAAATATCAGTGTCTTTATCTAATGGTTCTTGATTTCTGAAAAATGTTTTGCCCAGTTCTTAAAAACTTCTATTTATTTATTGGGCAATTTTTTACTATATTATTGTTGTTGTACTGAAGTTCATTGTAGCATTTACAAAATTTCTTACAATATGTCATAGTTGAATTCACTCCCTCCTTCATTCTCCTTTATTCCCCCTCCCCATTCCTAGAATAGTTTCAACAAGTGTCATTCATTTTTTTAAAAATTTTTACCCACAGGTTGTTGCAAAAATAATGAATTACAGTTTTGCAAACACTTCTGGCTTTCCACCTTACACAATTATACAACATCACAACCAGGAAATTGACACTGGTATAATACCGTTAGCTCACTACTGAGCTAACTGAACTAGACTACTCATCTTGGTCAGTTTCATGTGCATTTGTTTGTGTGTGTGTTTCTATGCAATTTATCCATATGAAGATTCAGGGAACCACCATCCCAGTCAAGATACGGAACTGCTGACACTACAGAAGAGCTTCCTCCTGTTGCTTTTTCAGTCTCTCTCTGTCACATCCCTGTCCCATAGCAACAGCTAACTGTTCTTCATCTTGTCATATTGAGAGTGTTAGATAAATGAAATCATACAGCGTGTAACACTTTGAGGTTGACATTTGGAACTATATCCTGGAGAGCCATCCAAATTTTCATTTTTTTTAATACTGATGATTTCTGAATTTTTACTAACCTTATTAATTGATAGCTCAAAGTAGAAATGAAATACAACGGATCTTTTTGGTATTTTTTCCCATGGTTGGTACATATCCATTAACTCCATGCTAGGCTCAGTGAGTAGTGATTAATGGCACAGAGACGTTATCTTAGAGACCCATAGTTAGGGGAGAGAGAGCTTAAACCAGGTATGTTATCATTCTGCCTGGCAAGTGAGTGGCTTATGGTCCTGTTGCCTTATTTGTTTGTTTATTGATTGATTGATTGATTGATTGATTATACAAGGCTTTGAACCCAGGGCCTTATACGTACTAGGCAAGCATTCTGTCAAGTGAACCATATCTCTCACTCTTTTTGTTTTAGTTATTTTTCAGCTAGGGTCTCACATTTTTGCCTGGCCCAGCCTGGGACCATGATCTTCCTACCTTTATCTCCTATGTAGCTGTGATTACAGGTGTATAACACCACACCTGGCTTGTTTGTTGAGATGGAGTCTTACTTTGCCCAGGCTGGTCTAATACTGGACCTTCTTGATCTTTGCCTCCTGAGTAGCTGGGATACAGTGTGTACCACTGTGCCCGGCCCTGTTGCCGTATTTGCAATGTCACTTTTATCCATTATTCCTTCCTGTCATCTTTATTTTCTGATTTCTCCTAGGGTCAAAGGGGAGAGGGGATAAAGGAGAATGATGGAGAATGATGGAGGGGGTGAACTTAAGTATGATATACTCAATATATTGTAAGAACTCTTGTAAATACCACAATGTACCCCCATACAGCACAACAAAAAAAAGAAAGGCTACATTTTATAGTTGAGCGGCAGTGCTCACACTTGTCTTCACCCCATTCTTGTAGTGTTCCCTCCATTCAAATGGATCAGCTGTGTGACAGGCAGTGCCCTACACTGTACCTTTCTTTGTTCTTACCACAGCCCCACCCTGATCTCCTCTTCTACATCTTTTTGGCCAGTCTTAGTCTGACTCTTGCATTGAAGCCTGTCTTCACTTCCAGCTCCACTAAAGACTTCCCTTAGCTGCCACACTTAGATCCTGTGGCAGCTGACATCTGTGCTAGAATCTAGCACATGGGCTCCTCTCCGCTGTCACTCCCATGTTAGTTAGGAGTCCCTTAAAGATAGAGGCTGTGATGTCACCACCGTTTGCTGTTCCCAACACCAGATGAAGAACCTTCTGTGCGATTGATTCTTAAAAATTGTTGTCATGCTGTCAGCAGCAAAAGTGAGCTTTGTGGATTCCACATATCCGGGGCAGAACATTCTTTATCACATTAATGAAATGGTATCATCTCCTGTTTGTTTCTAATTCACATCTGTCATATTAGGAGACAGCTTTTCACCTTTAAATAAGTGTTTAAAGGAAGTAATCTTTATAATTCTGCTTACAGTTTCTCCCCATACTCCTACTTCATTGAAAGTGAAGGACATTAATTCATCAGCCATTGCTCTTTCTTGGCATTTGCCAGGCGATTTTGCAAAGATTAATCTTGTGTGTCAAATTGAAATTATTAAAGCTAATTCAAAACAAGAATTGGTAAGTAAAATTTTTCTATAAACCTATTGATTATTTGGGATAAAATGCTTAGTTTGGGGGAAAAATTAAGTAAATTGATATGTGTAAGCTTTCAAGTAATTAATTACAGAGATTACTAAGAAGCAACAAAGGCATTCCCTATCACTGTGTCTAGCATTTGAGCGCAGTTACAAAGGTGGATGCTATAGCATGTGAGTTCAACGGTTGAGATTCAGGATGTGCCAGACCTAGTTTATGGCATCTGGCGCATAGCTGGTGCTCAGTGGGTCTGTGATGGAAGATCGTTTCTCCTGTAAACTTAGCATCAGCTAATGCACTAATTGGCACCAATAGCAGAAGTGATTTTGTAAATTACAAAGTGCAACAGTAGAAGTAAGTTTTAATTGGTAATTGTAAGTCAGAACATGAGTTAGTAATACATTTTAAATATTTAGGTAGATATATACACATCATCTTATAATTTATAGTAAGGTTAAAATAATATTGAATTTAAATATTTATTTGGAATTTACTGATTTCTAATCAGTCAAAAGTGCAAAATGTAACCTGAAAAAGTTCTTCATAAAAAGCATTTGGTGGGGGGGCATGTGTTGGGCACAGTGGCCCATGCTTCTAATCCCAGCTATTCAGGAGGTGGAAAAGATCACAGTTTGAGTTCAGCTTGGAAAGTTAGCATGATCTCATCTTAATAAACATGTCAGTCATAGCAATGCATATCTATAATTCCAGCTATGCAGAAGACATAGATAGAAGGATCACAGTCCCAGGCTGTCCTGGACAAAAATAGGAGACCCTATCAAAAAAAGTAACACAAAAAATAGACTGGAATGTGGCTTAAGTGGTAGGCACTAAGTTCAAACATCAATATCACACACACACACACACACACACAAAGCAGCAGCAGCAGTTGGGAGCTCAGAGCCTTTCCTGAGACAGATTTAAAGTTGTTTCATTTTAGTGTTATTCATTTTAATGTTTAGTTATTTGTGGGCTACTTATTACATGCGTAGCACCACACTAGAGGTTCCAAGTGACATAGTAACAAAGATGCACAAAAACAGTAGGTGCCTCTGGGAAGATTCTATTTGAGTAACACACTTACTCCTCAAGGTCATCTCCAGTAACCAAGTTACGTTAAAGTTTATTACATAATCACTAGCCATTGGCTGATTATCAAAAGTGTATCATCCTCTGCATAATTTGGCCCTTACTAATTAAAACCACTACTTCTTACTTGGATTAAAAACACATCCCAGTATTATATTGCTATTCCAAAGTATAATTGCATTGACTTGGCACTTGCGTAAGAATTAAAATACAGTAGTGGATGAGCTCTGGTATCATAAATGCGAACTCACATGGGCACTTGGCTGACTTAGTTACAATTATAGGAGGGTTTCTTACAAGAACTGGGGGGAGGGCGCACATACGTGTTCACGTACACATGGCTTCTACACATACATACGCTTACAACTTGAAAAGAGGTATCGGAATGCAGTTGTATTTTAAAGGTAAAAATGTGGGTGATATTTGCTTGTGTTCTTTCAATTCTTGTATTTTTTTTCCTATTTACATTTATTTTATTTTCCAAATAGCGGAATGCCACAATCAAAGGCGTAGAAAATTCAAGTTATCTCGTTGCTGTGGACAAATTAAATCCATATACTGTATATACTTTTAGGATTCGTTGTTCCACTGAACCTTCCTGGAAATGGAGCAAATGGAGCAATAAAAAACCACATCTGACCACAGAAGCCAGTAAGCCAGCCAGTGTTTGTGGCCTGTCATTACTAGTGAGAGATGGGAGGTGTTGGACAGAAGTCCCAAGGATACTCACGGGTGGCTTTGAGAGTCATTTCCACCTCCTTTCTGGGGCCTTGTGTTTTGTTTATACAAAGCTTAGCTTTTCTGTTGCTTCATTTTCTAAATGGAAGCCAGTGCACTGCTTCACATTTTACTGAGAGTCCAAATTCCAAGCGCCACCCTCTCAGTATTCTATCACTAATATACAGTGTGCCTCCTCAGACTCTAACTTGTAAATCTCCTTCCTAGTTCCTTCAAAAGGACCAGATACATGGAGAGAGTGGAGTTCTGATGGAAAAAATTTAATAATCTATTGGAAGGTAAGTACCTGATTTTTCCTTAGATATTTAAATGACTTTATTACACTCAAGTGCTTCACATACACGTGGTGTTTGGTTATCACAGGGCCAAGCCATCCCAGACTGGCTAAGTCTTGAGTATTGCTGAGAACCTAATCTGGCTCCTAAACCCCAGTTTCCTCATCACTCCTCTCACCACAGTCACTGTAGCAAAAATCTCTTGTCTCAGCTTTCAGACTCTTTTCTTGGAATTTATGAGTAAAGAGTAAAGTCCTAAGGACTAGAAGGTTTCATGAATTCCCTCTCCCTCACTTTCATAAGAAACTGGGATTCTACACGTTAGAATCTCAAGTGTTGGCAACATTTTTCTTCTATGAATGGATCAAGTCTCACACAGCACCATATAAATTGGGGCAGCTGTTTTGAAAAGGAGTTTTACTGTATACACAAAAAAGTTTGGCAGTTCAAAATTCTTTCATATAGTAAGTTCACTTTTTGGAATTGATGTTAAAGAATTAATCCTAACTGAAAAAGAAAAAATGTGGCACATTAATGTTTGCCAAAATATTATTTTAGTATTGTGAAAAAGTCTGAGTAACTTAATTTTCATTTGTTTAAGGAATAATCAAGTTTACTGATAAAATGCATCATGAAATATAAAGCTACTAAATCCTATATAATTGTGTTAACACGATTAGGTATATGTCTTGAAAAACGAAGTCATGTTGGTGCCATTAATTAAAAAACAAAAAAAACCTGCACCTAGAAAAACAACTTGAAAGAGACATCAAAATGCAAAAGTATTTTTAAAAATACGGGAGAGTTTTGCTTGTTTCCTTTCAATTTGTGTATTTTCTAATTTTTTTGTGTGATGGGCATGTATTACTTGAAAGTGAGAAAACAGTACATGATTTTTTTTTAAAAAAAAGTGCAGTAATTCTTTTGCTTATTGGTAAGTAGAGCAATGCTTCTAACCACTTCTTAAAATTTTGTTTCTAGAAATTGTGACGATAGATACTGGTATACACTTAATTTTGTTGTTGTTTTTTGCAGTAATGGGGCTTGGACTGACAGCCTGCACCTCGAGCCACTCCACCAGCCCTTGGTTTCTTTGTGTGTGTGTGTGTGTGTGTGTGTGTGTGTGTGTGTGTGTTGTTTGTTTGTGATGGGCTCTTTCAAGATTGGGTCTTGTGAACCGTTTGCTTCAAATCTCGATCTTCCTAATCTGTGCTTTGTGAGGAGCTAGGATTACAGGAAATAGCCACTGCCACCTGGCTAATTTTTTAATTTCTGTCTACTTATTCTTAATATTTAACAGCAAGTTTTCTTCAGTATCTCTTTTGTGATCTGTCCATGTCTCAGTGGATTTCAATTCTGTATTTCAGATTGTTGACAGCTTCACCTTTTCTGATGTTAATTTGTTATTGTGAACAAAGCCTCCAGTTTAGATTTATGACCTTGCCTAGTCATAGTTACTTTTTGCAAGTTTTTTTTTTTTTTTTCATTTTTCTTTTATTATTCATATGTGCATACAAGGCTTGGTTTATTTCTCCCCCCTGCTTTTTGCAAGTTTTTAATAGCAGAATTTGTTTTTCTGTTTTTTCATAGCCTTTACCCATTAATGAAGCTAATGGAAAAATACTTTCCTATAATGTATCCTGTTCATCAGATGAAGAAACACAGTCCCTTTCTGAGATCTTTGATCCTCAACACAAAGCAGAGATACAACTTGATAAAAATGACTACATTATCAGTGTGGTGGCGAAAAATTCAGTTGGCTCATCACCACCTTCTAAAATAGCTAGTATGGAAATCCCAAATGGTGAGTACTTAAGACAACTTAGAATATACACTAATAAAAGAAAGAAAGAAGGAAGGAGGAAAAAAACAATCGTATGTATGGATGGGCAGTTAAAGTAAAAACTGTTGATGTTATGTTACATTATGTATAGTGAGAGGAATGAGCACATTAATGTCTACTAGTCATTGAGAGAGAGCAGGCATTAGGATTGACTTGAAGCATGTGCACTGATAAAGTAATTGCCTTATCCAATTACTCTGTTACATAATGGTTATGGTTGATTATTGTTGAGGACAGTACCACTAGGAAGAAATATTTTAACTGTTTAGTCAAATACTATTTTCAGATATCACCCCAAGACTATTAAAGTTTATGCTGTCAGGTAGGCTATTTTGCAAACAGGCAGAAAATAGTACTTGTTTTAGTTGGCAGGCTTTTTAAAATAAGAAATTCTTAAATAATAAAGTCTTCATAAAGTCTAAATTAGACCTTTAATATGGGCTTTGGGAAAAAAACTGGTATAATTTAAAAACTATTAGTGCTTTCCGTTAAATTTTACCTATTGCTAGTGACTATTGCATTCCTTTTTAGCTTCTACCACAGCTTTTTATTAGCATCTGTTAATTGTACAATATAACAGGTTTCATTTTCATAGTGCATATAACATTCTTTGATCACATTTTATCCTCTATTACCTCCCCTTGCCCTCCTCCCAGTCTTCCCGGTCTTTTTCCCTAATAGCTGGACTAGTTTTTGAGTCGTGCATTTTAAATGGCCACTTCTACTTCTTCCAGTTAACTCTTCTTCTTAGTCATTTCCTGTCCCTTCTTATGCTGTCCAGCTGTAATGTGTGAGCACCTTCTTACACATTCACTCTTAAAGAGGAAGAAAAGTGGTTTAGTTAGGATCCTCTCAGTGTCTTCTCAGCTTTTGCTCGGGACAGGTTCTTAATTTCTTATTACTGAACTGTTTTTTTTATTGTTGTTGCTGTTGTTGTTCTGTCAAGGAAGTGGCCATGGGAGAATTAAGAAGAAGGAATGGGAAAGACACAATCGGTTTCACAGAACACTAGCATGAGCCCAGATAGCAGTGCAAGGACCCAGGGCTGTGGTGTGGCAGATGTAGGGAATATGCAGGCTGATGGCTCTTCGTTTGGGCTGGCCAAGAAAAGAAAGATGTGTGAGCCTGCTGTCACAAAGGACTAGGGTCCTTTTACTCAAGGACCCTAGTTCTGCCTGTTCTACCTGTCATTAAGAAGGAGGTGATTTACAGAGCTAACCTTACTCTGGTTATGGTGCTCAAACAGTGACTACAGCCCCAGAACACTCATAGCTTGGGAATTTCCCAAGTTGGAGGCTCTGCAGCCTCTGCTTAGGTTTACATTGTGGGTTTGTAATCACACTGAGCCAAAAAGCTGTTTTATGTCCAAAGTATTCTAAGCCAGACTGTTGCCTTGTGTTCAGTAGTAGCTGCCTTATTAATGCAGATTTGCTCAGAAACTGTTTCTGTGGTTTTTACTGAACCCTTAAGTATAAATCAGTCTTAGAAATTACTCTTTTCTCCTGTTACCGTGGGAAACATCTCTCTTTCTTTGGACCACACTGCCCTGCCCCAGGCCGATTCCTCATGCCATTTCAGCCCCATCCCCCCCTTTCTCACCTAGGCCCAGATCTGAAAGGATAGGAAACCAAACTTTCACAGCCCATTCCTGCCTCCAGCCCTGGACTTTGTCCCTGCTCCTCAGTATCTCACCGGTCTCTGTGGATCTGACCCTTCTGCCCATACTAGCCTTCCTACCTCACAGCTTCCCTGCAGATTCCCCCTGGTCATCACAGTGATAGAGTAGCAGGCTTCCTGGAAGGAAAAAGGGGCTACTCATCTGTTCTGTCCTCATATTTGTTGTGTGCCCATTCTGCACACTCTGTGCAGGCTAGCCTGCTCTCATAGAGTTTGTGTTCAGAGTGGATGGTGAGAGGAAGAGCTGAGACTGTCCCCTGTGTTGTTTACTAGCCTCCTTCCTTCCTCTGTTCCTCACCCCACAGGGCCATGCTTTTTCCGTCAGCCCCATTTTTTCTGGCTCTTGATCTCCCTCTGCCAGTCCCAATACCTGATCCTAGATGCTTTTCCTTTGTATTTTGAGCTGCTTTGTAAATTTCTGGGTCCATATAAATGCTATTATAGTTGTTCCAATAAAAATAAGCAGAGCAACACTTCTAATCTTTGCTACACATTTATGTACCTTTTTGATCACTGTTTTATAATTGGTATGTATTAAAGTAATTTTTATAACTCCTGTTCATTTTCTTGAATCTTGTGCCTTAGACTACTGTTTCTAATGCCAATAACATATCCCCCTTTCCTGTTAAAGATGACCTCAAAGTAGAGCAGGCTGTTGGAATGGGAAAGAAGATCCTCCTCACCTGGCATCATGATCCCAACATGACTTGTGACTATGTGATTAAGTGGTGTAACTCATCTCGGCCTAAGCCCTGCCTCATGGACTGGAAAAAAGTCCCTTCAGACAGCACTGAGACTATAATAGAATCTGGTAAGATGAACTTGTTGCTCTCAGGGTTCTTAAGAAATATTTTCTAAAGGCAACACAAGTGTGGCTGGCTGCAGCAGAGTGATCATTCTCTTTTAGCACTGGTCAGGTATGAATTGGTTTAACTTTTCTGGAGGGTTCTTTGTGACAGTATATACATGAAAAGATTCAAATCCTTTAATCTGGGAATTTCTTGTCGAGGAATATATTCTGAGACGTAATCAGAGAGCAACATGGATTACATCTAAGAATGCATGTTCAACATTATTGGTAATTGTGAAGAACTGAAAACTTGAGGGTCTTCCTGAGCGCCATACAGTTCTAGTCCCTTCGGTCTTACCCGGGCTTTCAGAATAATCAGGCTTTTAAAAAGTTATTATTTTTCAGAATAATAATGAAAATCAGTAGCATGGAGCATGTGGATGCAGATAGAATATCTGGGAGGACTAGACTTACAGGGTAGGGAAGAGCCAGCTGTGGTAACTGCCTATGTCAATGTGCATGGGCAGAGGCCCTACAGTGGTTGTGGAGATGAGGGCTCAGAGAGCCTAGGCAACATGCCTGAGACCACAAGGTTAGTAGGTAATGACATCAGGATTCAAATGCAAGGTCACTCGAACTTTCAAGAGACTGGGAAGTGTGTCTGTTTACTGCTGAGCTTCTGAAATAGCACAGCGTGCAGTGGGTGCTTCTCTTACTCATTTCTCATCCAGCCATCTTCTTTTATGACCTCAGCACATGTTCCTAATGCTCTCACCCACTCAGGTGCTTTTATTTTAAGTGGCAAAACCCTATAGAATGTTGAAAACACATAATTTTAACATAAAATGAAAGTGCAGATTTACTAATGGAAAATCAAATCATAACCTCATGCATGCCTTTCCCCAAAGAAAAAAGTTACAAAGCGAAACAAATTTGGCTGAGTTGAGTTTTCCATTAATATTTTTACCTAGTATTTGCCAGCATACAGACAGCACCTAGGGAAAAATGCTTCATTTGAGATGAGCCAATTCACTTTCTCTTTGGGTTATATGATTTTTAGAGGTTTTGAGCCTTTGAACCACTGTCATTCTATGGACACACAATTGGAGAACTAATGTATTAACCACACTAGAAAAATTGCATTCTGCACATGAAATGCCATTTTCCCCTTAAGCACTGTCTTCTCCTGGACCATTCCTGATGAGCTCCCAGTTGACTCTTCAACTCCCTTTTCAAAGCCCACGTAGGTATCTTTTTCTGATCCTCTCAGATGCCTGTGGACTATCATTTAAGGTCCTTATAGCATCTGAAATGCACCTCTAGTACAGTATAACACACTGTGTTATAGTTCGCATTGTTTGTGTGTCTTCCACAAGTCTGCCAACTTTTCCATGTCAGAGACATTGGTACATTTCTGTTTCCCTCACATTTTGCACATTGCAAAGGCGTTTAAGGCATTTACAAGTTGAAGTTAAGATACTTGCATGTCTTTTGGAGGTGACTTACTTAGGGACACTTAGTGACAGTGTTGTAAAGAGGAACAGACTTGAAGGCCCAGTTCCTTCAACATTGAAGCTTCAAGGTAGAGTGGAGCTCTTAGTATTCTTCTTCTTGGGGCAGGGGGAGACAAGGCTTCTTTCCAACACCATCTAGGGAAGAAAAAGGGTTTAGAGAGGCATGATGTGGACCTGGTGTGGGTTAGTGAACTAACTGATGGAATCGAGAAAGAAGTCATCATTGCTTGATTTTATGCAACAAAACACAAGCCTTGGTCACCATTTTCTCTTCAAAGCAATGTCATAATGCTAAACTTCTCATTATGATAGAAGTGAAAGTTCAATCTTTGGTCAGTTTTCACTCTAAATACTTAGCAATTTTGAAATGTATTTTTGTAATAAGAAAACATCTGTTCAAAATTAGCTTTGGAAATTTCAAAATAAGCTATAAATTTTAAATTTCTAAAGTAGATATTCTTAGTTTTATGTATATAAAATTTAGTAATTTGTTCTTCCTATAGATCAGTTTCGACCTGGTGTAAGATACAATTTTTTCCTGTATGGGTGCAGAAATCAAGGCTATCAATTACTGCGTTCCATAATTGGATATGTAGAAGAACTGGGTAAGTTAAATGGGTAAAAATTTTTTTAGAGTTTGAGTAACAGGAAAAAGTGTAAATTGACAAACAGTAGATTGAATTTTGAAAATAGAGTGAATTATGATGTTTATTTCAAGGAAGATAAACTAATTGGCTTGGTAAACTTAAAATTATTTGATTAATCTAGTTCTTTTACAGTTTAATTATTGTCATTGAGAAAATTTAATCTTAACTAGGATGTCAAAAATCTTTGCTTTTGCATTTATACAGTTTAAAAAACTTAAGACTAGTAATAAAGACGAGAAATAAAAAGGAAGTCCACTTGAATAAGTCTTTTCTTAAAGATTTTGCCCAGTTTTTGTGTGTACAAGTTTGTGTTTGTGTAAAGTTATGTTGGAAGTTCTACCTTACCTTCTGAAATACTTCTAAGGTTGTTAGTATATAAGCATTGTGATACTATCGCTGAGTGTTTATAACTAAATGGAGAGTACAGAGTTAATTCCAGGTTTAGCTTTTCTCAAGCCAGAGATCTCACAAGCCATTACTGTCTTGCTCTGTATTGGTAAACTTAGCTTTGTTAATTGACTTCTTCTTTTTACAGCTCCAATTGTTGCACCAAATTTTACTGTTGAAGACACATCTGCAGATTCAATATTAGTAAAATGGGAAGATATTCCTGTAGAAGAGCTCAGAGGCTTTTTAAGAGGGTATTTATTTTACTTTCAGAAAGGAGAGAGAGACACAACTAAGATGCAGGGTTTAGACTCAGGTGAGTAAATCCTAGCATGAGTACAGTGTTGTCTATACTCTCTCTACAACAAAATTAGAAATAAGGGCAAAATAGTTTCTGCTGGGTATTAAGGGGGTGGGGGGGAGAGGGAGGGGGCGGAGTGGGTGGTAAGGGAGGGGGTGGGGGCAGGGGGGAGAAATGACCCAAGCCTTGTATGCACATATGAATAATAAAAAAAAAAAATAAATAAATAAAGCTCTCATTACCCACAGCATAAAAAAGAAGAAAATGCTGCGGAGTCATTTAATACTGGTTTCTAAAACTGTCTGAAAAGTAGGGAAATGAAAATGTGGTCATTTTATAAATATGAGATTTTTAAGATTTTTTTTCAGAAATTATTTGTCATTTATTTTGAAGCCTTTGATTTTAAGTCCCATAGAGTAATAGCAATCTTTTAGTTCTATTACACAGAATATTACAAAATTTACCTTTTAAAAAAAAGTTCTTTAGTATTTATAATGAAGAGAAAAACCCAAGAATCCAATGGATGGCTTCAAAATCATTCTAATCTGACAAAAAGCCAACAGCGTGGTCAGTGTCATCCTTAGCCATGGCCATAATGAGCTAGGGAACTTAATTGGTTTGAGCGGGATATGATTATTCATTAAATTTAAAAAAGTACAGTCAGTCCTCATCAGTTGTTGAGTATATTACTAAAGACCTTAGAGAATTCTCCAATTTACAGAAATATTTGGGGAGATTTCTGAGTTTTCCACAAATTTTATTTCTGTTGGGAATCAGATGTTTCTTGATGGTAGACATTTGACACAAGTGGATCATCTTTTCACTTGGAGGGTTTTCGTTTCCATTGGTGACCTCTCTTTGGAAAGAAGCCGTTTTAATTATTTAATGCCTGTCTGATGAATAAAGAAAAACAATGCTTACTGAGCATTGTTCAAGTGGCTTCTGAGAGCATTGCATGGACTTTGAGCTTCCTCGGGTTGCCGACTTCTGCAGTTTCCAAACCTTCAGGGTTGCCTGTGGAAGAGGGAAATCCTAAATACCAAATTCTGCAGAATTTAGTATAATTTTCCTCAAATGCTGAGCAATTTTGCACTTGAACCGATTAAAATTCTAGCATCTGGATTTCCAGTTAGACGTGATGGATTAGTAACCCAAGTTGGAAAAAAAAAAATTCATAACGCCACAAGGAGAAGGAGAACGCAAGAGGCAAGACAATACCCAAAAAAATAATTCAGAACTTTTGAGATGGACATAGGTTAATGACTCAGCAGAGTAGGGGAAAGATGAAATCTTAAGTGAGCAGGTGGGTATCACTGAAAAGTAGTTCTATTCATCTTACAAGATCAGATGTTGGAGACCAGTGGCCTCCAGCATGGTGAATCTGGGTTGGATGGAGGGGGCTTATTGAAAGAAATGTCCCAGAACAGAGGGACCTGGGTAAATGGATCTATTAGGTGCACAGTAAAATAACTAGAAAAAGATCTATGCTAAGGTTTGCCATCATGAATTTTCATATACCTAATATATAAGAAACAATCTGAGAAAAAGTGGTCACATGCAAGAGATCAGGAGGAAGCATGTGAAAGACTTCCCTGCAATACTTGGATATTAGAAGATACCCCAACAGTGACTTCAAAATAGTGAGGAAAGATTTTTGGACCTAAAATTTTGCACTCTGTCAGTCTACCAACCAGTATGAGAGTAGAATGGAGAAATTTCTAGACATGGAAGGCTGCAAGTGTTTGCTTCCTTGGAGCCATGCTGCCTTTCTCAGTAAGCTGCTGAAAGAGTACCTCGAAATGAGGGAAGTAGTGGGGAAGACCCAGGAAGCAGCAGGAGAGAAAGGAGCAATGGGACCTCCAGGGCAGCAGCCTGAACAGGTTCCTGATGAGTGCAGGAGGCAGGGAAGGAGGCCACCACAGGGAGGTACCTGGACAGGTACAGAACTAGGATTTCCTTCTGTTTGACCACATAGAAAATTGTGCTAAGTATTCATTGGAGGATGTGGGAAGAATTAGGAATTGGTTCATAGAAAATCAAGCAAATGGGTGATAAAACAATTATAACAAGAAGAAAAAAGGGATGGGGGGTATACAAAGCACTTTTTCTTACCACTAACACATATTTACGTGATCCTAATGTGAACACTGAGTTCACCAGTGTTGTGATGTTTCTATATAAACAGTATGGCGAGGGCTTTAAAAGAGCTAAGTCTTCACCTAGCCTTTTTAGACATCAGTAGATAATGTCTAAAATTGGAAAGCTGAAAACCAGCAGTCCAAGTTTGTTATTTCAAAATACGGAGATAGAACTTCCCAGCCTCCAGAGTCATAAGCCAAATAAGCTTCCATTTTTTTTAATTAAAAAATTAAAAAATATGGAGGAAAATACCCAAAGAATTTGATAACATAACTTTGAAGTAGTTGTAGGGGGTGAGGGAGGGGCTGGTAGGGAACTACTACATTCTGTTACTAGCCAATTAATACTATTCTTTAAACTATTACCTTGCATTATTTGGGTTGAGAGGTTTTTTTTTAATTAAACAATTCTTCACACTTCTTTTTAAAGTGATTCAAAGACTCCCCTGTTGTCTCTCATTTGAGATCTCCATAACACAGATCCTTTTGCTAAGCGGTTTTGAAGTCTTCATATTGATTTGCACTCTTGCCCCATCCAGCCTTTGCTTCCAACTCATAGGTAGCATCTACCCAAATGCATTTGGGTTGCTCTTAATTATAGATAAGGAAGTCATTTTTATTAATCAGTAAAATAAAATCTTCTGTATGCCAGGCATTACTCTTCAGGATGTGTTTGAAATTTTCACATAGCACTAGGAAGCAAGTGTGATATTCTCTTTCAGAGTTAGAGAAACTGGAGTTCTGGGTAGTTTAAACATAGCTCCTGACTGGCAGAGGTAGAACTTGAACATGGCTCTGACTGGCTCCAGATCTTTGGTTTGGGGCTGATCAGAAGCCAGACTCACTTAAAAGGGCAGTTGGTATGATAGGCAGGTATGTATAGCCATGTGTTTAAAAGGCTGTCAAGATGAGTTAGGATATTCTTCATTTTAAAACTAGGTCGTTCTGACATCAAGGTAAAGAATATTACTGACGTATCCCAGAAGACACTGAGAATTGCTGATCTTCAAGGTAAAACAAGTTACCATTTGGTCCTGAGAGCTTATACAGATGGTGGCCTGGGCCCAGAGAAGAGCATGTTTGTGGTGACAAAAGAAAACTGTAAGTTTGTTACTGCTGTTGAGATGCTTCCACACTTACATGCATTGTGTTTCTTGTGACTTTTAGTTTATTTAGGAACCCTTCCCTCCTTTTAAAAAAATTTTTACATTCTGTTGCATTTTTATGTCAGATAGAGGGCAGTGCTAAAAGACCATGAGATGGTTTCATGTTTGTTCTTGTCTGTTATTTGAAACTCTTTCCAAATGAGTGCCTAAGAAGTTAATGACTGAGGGGTACACCCAAAATATAAAGGTCTAAATGCATGGCGAATTTTTCTAAATTCATTTTACAGCTGTTCTGTAATTTATACTATGTCTAGGGGAAAGTGAAAGAAGTTATCGTTTTAAATATTTTGTAAAGCGTAACATTTATAAATTTGAAATGGAAGTAGAGAATAATATGGCCTAAACTATCTTTCAGCATCTAAGAACCTTTGTTTAAATTACTGGCTTATCCTCTCCTTGGGAGTTGGAGTTCATGTATAGCTCTGAAGTATACAACCATGAGGATGATTTTGCCCCTCCGAGACATTGACAATGTCTAGTGACAACTTTGAGTGGCAGAATTGTGGGATGCTGCTGGAATCTAATTGTTACAGGCCAGGGGTGCTGCTAAACGTCTGTAATGCACAGGATGCCCCCCTCCACACACACACTCAATCCATGTACACACTCACGCTACACACACACACTCACTCCACACACACACACTCCACACACACTCGACACGCTCACACACACTCACACTCAAACACACACACCACACACATAATCACACTCACACACTCCTCCCACTCATACACACTACACATACTCTGTCACACACAGAGAGACAGCTGGCCTAGCTGTGAGTCATGGCAAGATTGAGGATCTATGAAGAATTTAAGTATTAGAATAAAATTATTACGCTACTTTGATGGTTATGTTTTTAATAGTTTTTTAGTGTCCCTGGAGTAGTTAGATGTTTTTCTTCAAATAATGACTTAAATATCTTCTAATCTAAGTTTATTCTATACATAATACTAAAATGATGATTTTTAGTATTGGGCACATTCTCTTTTCAGCTGTGGGGTTGATTATTGCCATCCTTATCCCAGTGGCTGCAGCTGTCATTGCTGGAGTGGTGACAAGTATCCTTTGCTATCGGAAGCGAGAATGGTAATGACACCAGTGTGTACTGCATGGTTTTGTTTTTTGGGCTTGATTATTTAGTTATGTGTTGGGAAGTAAGTTTGTCTTTTCAGTTGTACAAGTTAGTAAATATATATATAGATGTTGACTTTAATATTAGGCAAGGGTATGTATTTTATTTAAAGTCTTTAAAGCTAATAAGGAGTAGAAGTAAACATTTTCCTTCACTATTTTACTAATAATTTGAAGTAATGGCAGTTGTAATAGATACATGTGTGTATAGATATATATATCCACACATACATACACATACATAAGCAAAAATATGACAATAGATATCTACAAGATTACGTGTAATTAGATGATTAAGATCTCACTTGTCCAGGTGACTGGTTTAGAAAATCTGGTCTTTTTAGTTTTTTACTCATTTATCCATCAAGTTTGAATGCCCCCTTCCACATGAAGGCAGTTATAATGGCAAGCAAAAGCAAAGGTGGTCCTTTCAGACTTACAGCACAGTAGGTGAGGACAAGGAATAGTAAACCAGAAGCATCTGGTAAGCATGTGCCTGCCAAAGGATGGGTGAGTACCAGGAAGGAGGGGAACCGAACCTGTGCCATGAGGAAGATAACAGGAAGGCTGCTCTGTGAGAGTCCCAAAGGGTGAGGAAAGGGGAAAGAACATTCCAGACAGAGAGAATGGCTTCTGTGTCTCTGAAATTGAAGGAGTTGTGTGGCCGAGTGAAGTGGGGGAGAGGATCAGGAGTTAAGGTGAAGCAAGGTTGTCTGTCAGGGGCTCAGAGAAGAGAGCACTGTGCACTTAGCTGTAGTGTGCTGCCCTGGGCTGGGTGTGGGTCAAATGGCTTCGTTCATGCACAAGAAAGGGCCTCACTTTCTTAAATGTGCCATTGTTCATGACAGAGGAGAATGAATTCCAGCAATTCTGGCTTCTAAGTCAAGGCAGTAATAGTTGTAGAATTACAGCATAACCGATTTGGTAACCATAACTCCGTTTACCAGAAATGGAGTTATTTTTTAAAAGGACATTTAAAAGTTACACATGGTAGACTCACATTAACAAAGTTAACTCTTAATTTCACAGGATTTTTAAATAATAAAATTATTATTAATAGCTCTAAGTATAAAAATATGACACTGAACAGATAGGTCTCATTTTTGTGTTTAGTTTTTGCTCAAGGTTGATAGTCTTTCTTTTTCTTAACAAGCAACATCCTTGCAACACATGACTGTCACCTTTAAGCACCTTTGCTGTTTTTCCTCACTGTGGTAAAGCACATACACAGCACCACAGCTGTTTTCTAGCCCAGACTCTGTGGTGAGCAGGAGAGAACTATATATGCAAACATGTTCCCATGTTTCCTAAGTAATTGGTCCTGCTTAATCCAGTTTGCAGTCTGAAAACTTTGGTTGTATAAACAATGTCTGTATTTTATGTGGGATATGATAGCACAGTCACCACTGTAATTACTGCTTTCCTTTTCATGAGGTGAATAAGTTATTGTAGCTCTAGAAATAGAATTACTGTTTTCAAATTGGAACCTGGTATAGAAAACTCTAGTGAATGAGCACACGCTAAAGGTACTCTATTTTTATCTCTGATGTTCATTAAAATATTTATATGAACATAAATCAAAATAAACCAGATGGCTTACTAGCTTTGTTATCTGGTTAATAACAGCTATTAAACTTACTTAATCATTCTTTATTTAAAGGATTAAAGAAACTTTCTACCCAGATATCCCAAATCCAGAAAATTGTAAAGCATTACAATTTCAGAAGAATGTCTGTGAGGTAATCTTTTATTTTCTTTCATTTGTCTTTAAAGTACTGGTTTCTTTCATTTTTTGTGAAGTTTGTAACATGCAGCTGTTACCCTAAGAAAAAAGTATTAGGAAAATAGCATGCTTTACTATCTGCTGTATTTCAAAAGTTATTAATCTTAAATTGTTTATACCGTGTTCTTTTTTCCACTACTATTAATAGCAAGGAAAATATTGATGTGGAGAGAAAAAAGTGACTTTGCTCTGGTGTTCATTACAGAATAACAAAGATAAATGTTTATAAGCAGATGTGAAAAAAATAAGTAAACTATGACCTTTTGGTAGGAGGAACATTGCAGTAGCATTTAGTGCTATATTGACCATTATTTCTAAATTTTTTTCTAGGGAAGCAATGCTCTTAAAACATTGGAAATGAATCCTTGTACCCCAAATAATGTTGAGGTTCTGGAAACTCGAACAGTTCCTAAAATAGAAGATACAGAGATAATCTCCCCAGTAGCCGAGCGCCCTGAAGATAGCACTGATGCAGAACCTGAGAACCATGTGGTTGTTTCCTATTGCCCACCGATCATTGAGGAAGAAATACCAAACCCCGTAGTGGATGAAGCAGGAGGGACTTCACAAGTCATTTACATTGATGTTCAGTCCATGTATCAGCCTCAGGCCAAACCAGAGGAAGAACAAGACATTGACCCTGTTGTGGGGGCAGGCTATAAGCCACAAATGCACCTCCCCATTAACTCTACTTTAGAAGAGACAGCTACAGAAGATGACACAGATAAAACTGCAGGTTACAGACCTCAGGCCAATGTAAATACTTGGAATTTGGTCTCTCCAGACTCCCCTAGATCCACAGACAGCAACAGTGAAACTGTGTCGTTTGGAAGTCCTTGCTCCATCAATTCCCGGCAGTTTTTGATTCCTCCCAAAGATGAAGACTCTCCTAAGTCTAGCGGAGGAGGGTGGTCCTTTACAAACTTTTTTCAGAACAAACCGAACGATTAGCAGTGTCACTCTTGTCACTTCAGTGTGCCATCTCAGTAAGCTCTCATTGCTGGTATTGCTGCACAGCCTGGGGCATTCCTGGAGAGACCTGTGAAGTACTGGTGGCCAGGAAACTTCACAACATGTGAGTTACGCTGCAAGTGTTAATGTGCTTTTAATGTAGTCGAAAAGCCAAAGTACAGTGACTCAGAATCCTCAGCACTCAAAACTCAAGATTTGGAGCTGTTCGTGATCAAGCCAAAGAATTCTCCTTCAAGAAGCATTTTAAGGCTAATTCTGTCTACATGTGTGCAAACAAATTCCATAACTGTTTTCTGTTGTTAATGGTTTTCTCATGTGTATACATTAGAGGATTACAAGCAGATTTGCAGGCAAGGAAAAAAAAATGTCAAGTCATACAATGTTTATTTGCCTGCCTTTACTCCAGTCTAGGGGAAAACCAAGCACAGATTTGCAAACTTTGAAGATGATTCTTCTCAATCCTCAGCAGTTTACAAGAGTTAATATAATTGTTAAAGTAGCAGCAGTTGTTTAGTGTTCTGTTTGATAAAGTATGCAGATTTCTGTGCCTACTGTATAATGGTTATCAAACATTTGTCTCAGGGGTGCAAACTTGGACAGTGAGCATGACACTGACCAGCCCAAATCAGAATCACACTTGCTCGCATTGCTAGGTTTTTCAAACCTTTTCATTATTTTTTAGCTTTTATGCTAGCTTCCCTCATTGCAGTTGGTTGCCCTAATATTTGAAATTTAAATTTCTAGAACTACAGATTGAAGGTTCTTTTAATCCATTTTATTTTGTGATACAGTGTCAGCTTTATGTGAGCAAATTCAATGGTGTTCATAAGGATATAAATCCAGTGATTTACTATGTGAGATGACTACTAAGCAACATCGAGCAGCATTAGCTGGTTATGTAGCCTTGTTGCCTTTAGTTCTGCCTGAGAAGACTGTGCCATCAAACCCAGTCACCAACTGGTGATGATCCTTGATGCCTCCTGGCAGGTTTTCCTCCTGCTCATGAGTCATAGTACTTTCTCCCTCTTAAGTGATCTTTTGTCCAGACTCAGATACAGTACTCAAATTCTAAGCATAAAACTAAAATGAGAATGCTTTTTCAGTAACAGTTACTTAAGGGCTATTTCATATTAGAGTTCTTAAAACCGAGTCGAGTCAAATCATTGGACATACTTGTATGTGGTTGGAGATGATCTGTGCAGAGCCACACATCCTCAGCACAGCGCCCTGCACCCGCCCCAGCTTCTCTTCCTGGATGTCTGAAGTGAATGTGGTCCTTGGAAAAGCAGAATGAAAACCTAAAAAATGTGTTGTGTATTTTTCCTGCCCTCAGGTTGTCTATATATTTTGTCTTGATAGTTAAAACAAAAGTACTTGAAATTTTGAAACATCTGATAAGATAGACTTGTTTGATTATTTTTGAGCTCATAATGTATCTTTTTAAAGACCATGTTATGGGGGAAAAAAAACATGACAAGGGACAAAATCTATTAGGTACTCAGTGTATGAATCCTGATTTTTAACTGCTAGGATTCAAGTAACTCTGAACTTCATGATATGATACAGATATATTGAATTAAATATAATTAACAATGCACATAAATAGTATATTAAACTATATAATAGCTCATAGAAATGTTCAGTAATGAAAAATATATCATACCAGACCAATCCCTAAACAGAGTTTTCTCTTGTCTTCCTCTGTATCCTCTTTGGCTCCTTCCCTCAGCCCCTTTCCAACCCCAAACACTGACCTGGGGCTGTCTCCTGTTCCTGTCACAATTTGTCATTACCATGTTCCCCCTGAAACTTACTGATCCTGTATTTCATCTCTTTAGGTCATGGCAAGCACTGGCTAAAGTAATAGCATACTAGTTTAAACTACTAAACCTGAGAACACAGGAAGAGATCAGAAGAAACTGTCTGATCCCTGTCATCATCTCCACTGTGCCCTTTCTAGCCTATGTAATGATGTGTTTGGGTAGTGATAAATATCCCTGGGGCTCCTGACTCCAGGATTTCAATGTGTGAAGCAGGTTCCTAGCTCTGCTCACCTCCCCTACCCTCTGAGGTACCCAAGGTTCGCTGGGTTAGTGAGAAGCAGAGTAACCCTCTATTAGTCTGGGCAAGCTCGTTGTAACTTGCTCTGAGACCAGAGCAGTTTCCTTGTTTTTCCTCATTGAATTGAAGACAGCCAGACCCTTTGCAGGGTTGTTACCCCACCATCCCCCCTCCACCTGTGGATATAGAGGGAACTTTAAAACAGGACAAGGAGCGGGAAGGAAAAGGGAGAGAACACCCTTCGTTACATACCCTGTTGTGTGGGAATTCCGTAAGTGTCCACTGTTTTGTCAATGCAGGGGCTGTGCCCATGTGTGCAAGATGGTCTGACAGTGGTCATGGTCTGTCCAGTCAGCATAGCTGCTTCTCCTGGGAGGGTTAATATTAGTTAGAGGGAGAGACGGCATGTGTTCCCTCTAGCCCTTCCTAACTGGGAAAAAAATGGGAAATACCTCTTTCCTGACAAAAGCCTAATCATTGGTTAAAAAATTCTAAATGTCTAGACAAGAATTATATTCTGTTATGTCAATTAAATAGAATTATATTGTCACCTCTTTTGTAAGCCAATTTCAAGTCAAGCTTCCCTTATGAGCAATGGAAATTCCTAGGGTCATTATAACATTTGTGAGTTTCTTTTGTGAAATACAAAACATTCTTAACTACATAACTAGGCTTTGACATTTGCTAGACCTTGTGAATTATGTACTGCATGGATTAGTTAGCACAAGTATGCAGTCCCTGTCATCAGTCCAGTTAACCTGTGGAGCCCTGAGTTGAGACTCTGGCCCTGAGTATCTGGAGAGTTGGGTGTGTGTTTCTTTGCCATGTGATAGAGGTACTTTGTCCTTGGAGCTGGAAACAGAAGCAGCCATTCACTGAAAAGCTTGAGAGAGGAAGTGTAAGCCTCGTTTTCCATACCAGCATTACTTTCACGGCTCATGGAGCTGAAGGATTGCATTTAGAACATCTAGTGCTAGTGCACTCAGAAACGTAAAAAGTCACATTCTCAAAACTTCATGCAAACTCTTATTGAAAATCAGTCCAGTGATTTCTTAATTGTCTTTATACTGTCCATATTTTAAGAATGTTACACTTCTTTCTACTTCTGGATAATTAAATGTACTTTAGTGGAAGGGATTAGAGAATATTTTCTCCCAAAGGGAATTTGAAATCAATTTTATGGTATTTTAAAATTGCAGTACCCCTTAATGTGTCAATATTAAAAAAATGTTATCTCAAAGTTTTCTACCACTCAGATACATAATCTCATAAAACTGTTTTGTTTGTCTGCATTAAGGTAATTTTTGCTGTTTTCTGTTTTGAACTATGTTAAAATTTGTATACCTTTTTTTAAGTGCCTTTTTTTCTAATTTTGAAATTGTAAAATTGGGCATCTTAAGTAAAATGGGGTGGGAGGACCATTCACTACCAAGACCTGGCACATAGTGAAAGTCCAGTAACTGATTTCGTATTGACTGAGTCCTTTCTCATTCTGTTGCAAATTAACAGGATTTTCCTGACTGGTGGTATGATTCAAATCTACTGTAGAAGTGGCTTCACATGTAAACATAGAAAAGACTCACGCATACATGTCACTAGATGTCTTCATAATTTTCACTATGATTTGTTTTTATTTGATGCATACTCAGTTTTGGGACCTGTTTGTACCAAACCAGCATATGTTCTGGCAAACAATACTGTATGTGTGAACCTAATTGATTAATATTAGAACTCATCCTCTTGATAAAATATTTCTTTAGAGTATTTCTTTTGAACTGATGTTTTCTGCTGAAAGAGTTTCATAGTGTCATACCCACCTTAACTTTTGTATCCAGAAGAAAGTACTGGTGGCCAAACTTACAGGACATTCCATCTTTTAGACATAGCCTTAAATATCATTGAAATTCACTTGGTTTAAATTTGGCTTACTCATATCTTCATGAATTATGTTCCAGGACTACAAATAACATTTAAGCCTCTTATTTCATTAGGATGGTTAGATTTTTCACTATTACATGATCATGCTAACTATTATACAGATGAACTATTTTTAAATGCCCATATAGAGGATTGAGAATAACAGTTAATTGACTAACGTCAGGCTTTATTGAACATAGTAGAGTTTCAGGGGTTATCATTTGGTCTAAAATATATCCACAGGCTTATAACTATGAGACTGGATTATGGCAGGATTCTGTTATAACAATGAATAATGCTTGTTTCTCTCATACTAGGAATGTTAATATTTTGAATTGTAAGTGTGCAAGTTATAAATAGAATTTAAGCAAGTCAAATTCTAATTGTGCTACACTTTTATAAAAATTAAAAGCAATGTTTTAAGAGGGAAACCCTCTGGATATTTTTATGTGTAAGTGCCTAGCTGGAGTACCCTAGAAACCATAAATCTAAATAAATCCACTAGCATTTACAGAAGTAAACCATAACTGATTGAACACTAACCAAATACAAAGCAGTAATAACTGACATTACTTTTAGTTGCTGTAACTGAGTATTTTAAAAGATGTGAAAGAGAAAAAAAAGTCTTAATTGATAAGGAAATTGATTATTATTGCATATGTCTTCTAAGATTGCCTTTGCAGTAGCCAATCAGATCTTTAAAAAAAAAAAAAAGGCCTTTATGCTGCACTTAAGCTTAAAATACCTTGTATACCTGATTTAATGGCTCACTTAAATTTATTGAATTTTCTTACCCATTTAAAATGTACTTTCCTTTAGAATTATTCCATTTTAAATGGACAGTTTTCAACATCTGAACTTATTTTCCTAAGCATTCCAGTGGTATATTATGAAAGATCAAAAGGTTTCTAAGTGGTAATACAATTTTCATTAAATCATGGACAAGTTAGCCATTAGGTTTAACATTAGTTAGTTATTTTGCAATTAATCATAGAAAATAATACATAAATTTGTTTTCTAATGTTTTCCCCCATTTTTTTCTAACATGTCATAAGATAGTGGCTTCTGCTCTTTAATTTTTCCTCCAACATAGTATTTAGGAAAAATCTGAATAGCATTGTTGAATAGTTGAAGATGAAACCTTACTCAATCCATTATTGCCATAATGTGATAGCATGGGATTTATTTTACTCTATTACATTCTTTAAAAGGAGCATGACTTTTTCTTAAATACATTTCAACTCAATTGCTTGAAGATTGTTCTGGACACACATTCTAAATTTGAGATATTACTACCTTAAAGATATGTTCAAAGGTAAAATAAGTCATTTAAAAATACTTCCATTCCTAGTAAAATTTTTTCTTAACCATTTCTTTCATCAGCTGTTCATAAGTCACCATCCTTATTACACTAAGAAATTACCATTTTTTTACTTTCAAAATTGCATTATAGTGAATTACTGTTTACAAAATACACATACTGTGAGCAGATACAAGTTTTTGTCTTTTATAAGGTTTGTATACTGGGTGTTTTTTTTTTTTAAGGTGGTGTTGCGTTGCATATTTTTAGTTTTTTTAATAAATCCTAGTGACTGTTACTAACTCTTGTTGGTCAGGTATGTTGTGTAAATGTAGCTGAAAGAAGATAAGGAGAAACTACAGATCCCAAACCATACCCCTTTTTCATTTCTTCAAATGTTACCACTACAAGCATTTTTTTGTTAACAGGAATGATCAGTTATGATGTACTATACCTAAAACCATGTTTAATCATACTAGGAATCATTTAAATATGCACATACAGGAAGTGAAGTGTTGATTGAAGTGTATCTGTGTTATTCACAGTATTCTGAGTTCAGTGTGGAATAAAACAACTCCACTTACAGAGATGACAACTGAAGTATTCTTGCCTTGTGAAAGTTTGGATATTATGTTTCTGTTAGAATGGAAAATGTTTATATCCTATATAATTTCAGAATTTAGTTTCCATATCTTTTGGAAAATGTGACAAAGAACATAGAATATAAGTAACCTATTACTAAGACACCGTAAATATAAAACTAGTATGCTTGGCTGTTAACTCTAAAGATGTTACTTATGTCTGTTTTTAAAACATGCATGTATTTAACAATTTTATCATAGTATTGTCATGAAAAAAAATAAATATATTTTCTTACATCTTACCTGACAGATTTGGGCATGATTAGTTTGGGGGTTTTTGATGTTGTTCTTGTTTTAAATACTTAGGAAAAGCAATTTCTGCTTTGTCAATGCATTTTTTTTATTCTATCCCATAAGAATTATAGTGGTTCTAAAGCAGTCACCTAGCATAACAGCTGCTAGGCTATTTCAGTATTTAGTAAAACCTTCCCTCTGCTCTGTTAAATTGGCATTCTGTTTACTAGGGGAGTTGGCATAACAATATTTGAGTAGTGGAAATCCAACAAAACGCTAGCAAATAAATAATGAATTCTGGTCCTTTAAAGTATGGTTTTTAATTTATTTTCCCCAAAGAGAGCCGTAAACATTTCTGGAGTTTCTGGGAATATGTCAAACTTTCACTTCAGAGTATTGAATTTGGAAATACGGTAATTGATTTAGCAAAGGCTCATTTTAAAGCATAAAATGATCTTAAATAGTTCATAGAGGGAGAAATGAAGTCCTTTGTCATATGTAGCTCAGAGTAACAAGTAACACATGAATGGGCCCGAACTTAACCTGCAGAAAGTGCAGACAAGTTATGAATTAATCGTGGAACACATGTTAGTATTTAAGTGCTCGAAGAGCTCATACATGTGGTCTGTCCTTTGGGGACTTCTCAATGTATAACTTGTTTCCCAGATGTGAATTCTTGAGCCAAAATGTCCCATCATCAACCTCAGGAACGTTGAGGAGAATGATGTGGTTATTAGGAGAAAGAAAAATAGAGATGTATGAATAATTTTTAATGCAGTGTTAACACTGCACTAACACATTAGCTTGCAGACTGAAGTTCTCATAAAAGAGCTACAGCATTCATTTTGAATGACCTATAAATTTGACCCATTTCCCTTCCCCTGAAGTGACCAATAGTAAAACTGATTAAAAACATTCCACCTTCCCATCCAGGGAAGTGGAGGTAACAAGCGATGTCTTGAACTGATTTTGAATGAAATTGGAGATGACTTTTAGCCCTGGTTGATTAAGCTCAGATTGTGGGGACAAGAAAAGCATTTGAGGATTGTAATAAAGGCTGTTACATGGAAATAGTGTTAAAATGAAAGCAACCCCAGTGTATTACCCTCTCATACTTAGGTCTCTAAATGCTTGAAAGGTGAGAAGGAATGTCAAGTTCCAGCTCTAAATCTTTCCTCCTCCTGTCCCCAGCCAACTGCTGGAGACAGCCTCAGGAAGCAGAATAGCCTCTTTCCCTTCTTCTCTCCAGAGGCCCTTGCACTACACTCCCCTCACACTTGCCTCAGAGTTGATGCTTGCCAGAATAGGGAAGCCTGAGGAAGGAGTGTTGAGAACAGACGGGCCCTCCTAGTCCCCAATCACCCAGTGACCAGTGCAGACAGTACACCCCCTTCAGAAACAAACCTAGAGTCTCATTTTTTCAGTTAGCATGGTCTCCTTTCTTCTGTTGGTTGGTGTTGGGGTTCACTGGGTTTCAGAGATTGCTACTTTAACTGCTGCCAAGTATGAGACCGCATAGGCCTGGCCGGGATCCTATCTTACCACTTCTTACCTGGGCCATTCTTGGAAAAGGACATGATTTCTCCCTTGCTCCCTATCTCCTCCCTAAAACGTGGGTCTAAGTACCTACCTGCTTTTGCAAGACTGTTGGATTGCAGGCGGTGTCCACAACTCTCTCTACAGGATAAATGTTTGACTGTGACAGGTGCTTCTGTCCTTCTTCTGTCTCAGAGACACAATGCTTGCAACCACTCCAGACATGTCTTAGATTCATTCCATCCGTCAGTTACACAGGAATTGACAGCACACAGCAAAAGGCCTTCTAGGTGACTCCCAGGGGATGCAGGCTGGAGCTCCCCTTTCCCTGTTTCGGGTAGCTTCTTCCATCCCCAGGTCAGGTTGAGCATCATTGGCTCAGAGAAACCTTTGCCAGAGTTGTCAGGTCCTCTGTCCTAGCACAGCCCCTATTGTGCACA